CAAATGCTTTCATCATAAATAACAATGCAAATACATACATTTTTGGCAATTGTCCAGATAAACTTGCGCTGTGTAATTGACAGATTCACAAATTCTGAAATGAGCGCTCTTTGATCGTTTTCTATATAATTTAATCACAATTTAAATAACAGATGATTTCCATGCTACTAAGAGAAACAATGTGTAGTAGATTGTTTATTTACTGGCTTGATTTGCTGCTGCTTAAACAGTACTGAACGATTTATTTGCTTAATGCTTTTAGGTGATGCGTATGCTCACTTGCATCATTCGTGAAACACTGTCAATGTTTGTTTCATCATATATTGCTGTTACTTTAGTGTTTTCGCTTTTGCTTTCTGGTTGATAAAACAAGAGAAACATTGTCCACCAAGCGCTTCTCTGTTTTGTGTGAATTTTAGAGCCAAGAAAGGTTATGTTTAATTTGAATTTAATGTCCCAGATTAATTGATTGTAATTTTGTGGTTCTTTTTAATGGCTCTAAAGCGACCACAAACGCCGGTTTATGTCATTTCAATTATGAAAAAGCTTTTAGAGATGTAACAATAGAAAAATGGCAAAGGCGCATCATCTCAATAAATCTGCCTAAACACAATTACTTACAGTACAGTTGTGTGTGTGTGTGTGCGCATCAGATTCATCCTGCCAATAACAATGCTTCCTGTGATACAGAAAGCGTGGGGATACAAAGAAGCAGCCAATGAGCTATTGTTTATGGCCCACTGTTGACCTGTTTAAGCAGACTTGAAAACAATGGCTGTTTCAGTACAGTATAACTGCATGTAACGTTAAGGATACTGTATGCGTGAGGTTCCTTTATCAAGGCAGGACACTTTTCCAGCAGTTGGAACATTTCAGACAAGGAGATTCAGAACGAAAGTGACAAGCACCTGAAGGGGGCCGAAGGGATGAGCGGTGTCTCGAGGGAATGACAGAAATAGACCAGTGAAAACAAACTAAAAGCCTTCTGATTGAACTTTCAGTAACATTCCCCAAGGTTTCATGCTAAACCCAATGCCTATTGTTGTCTTTCCAGAACATTTTCTGCCATTTTTAGAATAGCGAGGAACATTTTATATTTTGTCACTTTTTGTACTTAAAGGGACACTCTACCCATTTGCTTTAAGATTTCCATTGTTAGAAATCCAGTCATACTATTGAATGGTCGTGCAACACTCTCTCATTTTCCCCTGAGATGAGAGAAATCCGCCATTTACCTTTTTTCACTTCCTTCTATATGACGCAAACATCATCATTGTGTAAGAGGAAGGGGATTTCTGTAAAGACTACAAGCACTAGTTCCCACCCTGTCAAACCCGCCCATAGGGGGTTGGACCTAATGTGCTAAAAGACTTATCACAGATCAGTGCCAGTGCGTTTGTTTTCACTGGCAGAAACTTTTTGAAAATATGGACGAAGGTACTGAATATAGCAGACGGATGCATTATGGATAGGGTTGGGTACCGAAACGCGGTGCCAATAGGGAACAGGTTTAGACGTAAACGGTAATAACCAGACCGAATAAGAACAAACATTTCGGTGTCATGAGGCGCACACACGCAAAGTCTAACCATTTTCTGCCTTTTATCGAAATTTAACAAATTAGAAATTTATTATACTATTCTACTACATATATGACCCACTTTCAATACATATGTCTCCACATGGTGGAATTACCCTTTAAGTTATACTCTGTTGTTGTCCATGGCAGAATTGTATCACCCAATGAATTTTTATTGATTCATTTATTTTTGGTATTTGGTATTGAAGTTATTTCAATATTTAATTTGACTATTAGTGAAACACATGTTCAAAGGCTATAGCTGTTAGATTACTAACTAAAGGCTAACTGAAAACACACAAAAAACAAGAATTAAATGTTTAATTCAACGATTTAGATTCTGTAAAGCAATGTTCTGTCATTCCTAATATAGTTAGAATACTGAATATAGTTACTCTGCCATAGAAATGCCTTGTTGAGGATTCTGCAAGGGGATATGATTTTTGCAACACACTGTCTCTATTTTTTAATTGTCAGTCTACAGCACAAATGTGTCGGATGATCTGCCATTGAAATGAAAGCTTGGTTTGAAAACAAAACAAGTAGCATAATCAATCACCGGCGTAAAATATCTGAAAGTGCTCAAACTCAAGCACATCCTTGTTTCAGATGGAGACTGTGATGGAATGGGCCATGCTTATTGTAATGGACATGCTTTGTCCTTGTCAAGTAAAAATGAATAAGGGAACTAAACTAGAGTAAAATGAATGGAGAGTGAGCGATAAATAAAACAGTGCGGAGTCGGGAAGGCGGAGTTATTTTAAGCTGGTGACGGATTGTATCTTTGTTGAGCTGGAGCTCATTTGCATGGCAGCAGGCACATGAAGATGACCTCACTCTTGCTTTATCTCACACACATTCTCTCTCTTTCTCTCTCTCACACACACACACTCAAGAGAGCTAGACAGAAGGCCACTGAGCAGCAGGGAGAAATAATGTGTCTGTTGCTCCACAGCTGAGGATATATTAAAAATAGCTATTCGGTTTGTTTTTGTAATATGTATATTTTGCACACTTGCATATTTTCTGTTTGAGTATATACAAACAACACCTGTATGACCTTCTATATTCAGCAAAATGTGCTGTAGTTTAATCACACAATGCAATGCTCTTGAATCGACCTTCCATTTCAAGAGTGATGAATGAACTGAAATCTCATTGACTAAAACTAGAAGACATTTTTAGATAAAAGTTAATAAACAGATGTGATAAATGGTCAAATCTTTCTGAATTAAACATGTGAAATTGCGATCACATTGTGATCCAATCAGGGTTCCCACGGGTTCTTGAAATCCTTCTTGAAAGGACCTGGAAATTTTTTGAAAATAAACGTGCATAGATACAGGTCCTTGAAAGTGCTTGAATTTATTTTCTGCAAGAAGTTTTCTGGAAAAAAATCCATGTTATTCTCTCCGCTCCGCTAATGTGTTATTTTGCCAACACTTCGTGGCCTATTCATACTAGTTTGCTTGATTTACGTTAGTTACGCGTGTACACATGTTACATTAAGGGGCTCCCACATGAGGTTCTTTGTGTTGTACGCTGCCATGACTTTCACGCTCGCACGACACAACTACTAAGATGGTACCTCACCATTTGTTGTTGGACATTAAGTACATTAATTTGAGGCTATTGGACCTGAAAAGTCCTTGAAAGGTCCTTGAATTTGAAGTTAACCAAGGTGTGGGTGTCAACAATGTAGCATACTATATTTTTAAAACAGTTTTTTTGATTATTTCCATGGGATATTTTCCTGAACCGAACTGAGCAACTAGTTGTCAATGACGTATTTAAACGCGCATTAGAGATGTGTCTCCTGTGTGTGCGGTGCAAACAGGGAAAGAGGTTTGAGCCTTGACTCATTTGGGTTGCCAGAAAAAACACAAACAACATCAAGCCCAAAATAAACCTAAAAAGATCCAAAAGCTTTACAAGTCAAAAATATCGTGACCCATATTTAACAGCTCCATAAACTGGATTGCGTTACGAGCCAAGCCCAAAGGGCACTCTGTGAAGCAGCTTTTCAATACAAAACACAACGCTTCTGTCGATACTGATCTGATTAAAAAAGGCTTTGGTCGCTGCCGGTAATATTACTTTGGTCACGATAGCCAAAGTTGAATACCTAAAGCACACAGGCCATTGTTAAGTCACATTCCATACAAACACACAATGATAATTTAGGGGATTCATGCCCTTATTTAACTGTGGTTATTTCAGAAATTTTATAGTGGCCAGTATTTCAGTAAGTTGTATACATCTATCATCCCATCCCGAACATAACCAGCGCCTCATCAGCTTCCACAATGGCAGAAAAGCTGCTTAAACACTGATATAAACTGTCCATTAGGTAATGGACAAGCGTTTCTCTGCTCTCACCCACGATCAGTGAGAAACTCCTGATTAATACTTGCGATGCTTGGGAAGGGTTTGGATTTAAATGCTTATTTCTCTGTTTTGCATATTATACTACATATACACCTCATTTATCATCAGGATCTTGAGCTCTAGTATTTCTGTATCTGTGTAGTGTGCCACCATACACGTGCTATATTGGTTTGATTATTACACTATAGCTCACAAAAAAGGGTTATCTTGCATAAGTAAAATATTCCTGAAATTAAAGAAAGAGTGAGCGATTCAACTCCGCAGATTATCCGTATAAAGCACAGAAGACTGTAACGTGACTTTGTACAGTAAACAGTGACATCATGTAAGAGAAACACTTTCATTGGTTTGTGAACTGCATGCTGTTTCTTTTCTTATCACTTGAATTAGTTTTGCAGAGTGGTTGGGCATGAAGAAAAATCCAAGCTTTCTTGTCACAAAATCCAATTTCAAAGGACATTGTGTCTTGCAAAGGCTGAGCGGATGTATGGAAGGGTTTCTGAAAGTACTTGTTTTGCTATACTGGATATTAAGTAGTATATGCCTTTGATGAAGGAAGCTTTGATGCTTTTGAAATCATCTGTCATGCTGTTTTCGCTACGTAATGTTGTAGTTATGGTATTTACTAGCAGGAATTAACAGCTGAAACTTGGCAGCCGAACAGTGATGCCCTCCCCCGCCCTGTTCTGAGAGCTTGTTATGATGTAATTCCCTCTTCTCATCCACTGACATGAACTATCCTCTTCACAAATGCATTTATCTTGTGTTCATGTCAACATACTTTAAATTCAGCATTAAGCCATAATCCAGATGTACTTGAAGACACACATTTGAAGTTCAAATGGAGATTAGTTTTGATTTTCCTATCCTATAATGTATTTTAGTTTATTTTTTAGGTCACAGACCTAGGCTTGTCTGAAGAACCTTTCTAATTGATTTGGTCTCTATTAAGATGAGTTTAATTGATAGTTGTGTTGCTTTCTGAATTTTCTTCTTGAGCACCTCACAATGAACCTTCTGTGTCTCTCATCAGGTGAACTTTGTGGTGTGCCAGCTGTTCGCCCTGGTCACGGCTTTCTGGTTCAGACTCTACCTGCACCCTAGTAAGACAAGTCCCTTCATCCGCCATGTAGTTGCCACCCTGCTGGGCTTCTATTTGGCCCTCTTCTGCTTTGGCTGGTGAGTGTTTGTCTGCTTCATCCCTCATATATTTCAGATCCATTATAGCATCTAAAATTGATAGTCGGTTTGTGAGTCATTCAGTTTATAATGAGGCTATGGACTACTGGCCGAAGACCAGAGTCTCCTCTGAAGCTACGCTGTGCACTGCATGGTGGAAACTGAGCGATGCTCTCCTCTTTTTATTGATCTGTACACTTCCATAACAACACACTGTTATTGTAAGAACTCACTTGGTTTGTTTTGTCAGGACTGAACCATGCAACTTAGCTGGTGTGCTAGTTCAAAATTCAAATTAAATTAGGGTTTAACATGATTGCATTGAAATGCATGGAAGGAGTTGTTAGTTAATGGGTAAAACATGTGTATGCATTGGTACTATTTGTGTTTTCAATGTTGAGTTTAATAGTTTAATGAAAAGCAACCACCTTTTCCAAAGCCTTTCAAATGTTTGGTTACAAAATGACGAACAAAAATACTCATACCTTAGTTTAAAGATTTAATATACATTGGGATTAAAATGTTGGAAGCCACATTGAAAACATGGAGTGTTTTCTGATTATAGAACAATAAAAAGAGATCCCCTCTGTAAAAAACTTTAACTCAATGTCAACAGATGAAACATAATTTTGAACCTGGCCTTATCCAATGTTTACATTTTCTGTTCTGATATTGTATGAAATCAGTGCATATTTATTTAATTAATTAAATAATACCTTTGCATTTTTAAACATAACATTTCAGAAAACCTGTAATAAAACAATTGCACTTACTGTATTTTGTACTAAATGAAAAAAGTGCAAAGTAAAAGCATTTTTAGACCTCAACATTATGTCAATTTGGTCTGTCTTTATTTTAGTTAATCAAATCACTTTTTTGTCACAAGCTGAAAGTGTGACAAATTGCGTTAGTGTGGAGTCATGCTCAAGCTTGCATTTATTGAAAGACATTTGACCATAGGGAGCAGTCTATTACACAGCTCTCTGAGCAAAGGTCAGTCTACCCAAATCAAACAGGAAGTCCTTATGCAATGAACATGACAGCAAGAAGACGTTTACCAAGATATAGCAGACGCTAATGTGTGGTACTTGTTTGAATCAAGCAAATGCCTTCTATATTTGTGTGGCAGTGTGTGAGGGGGTTTCCCATCCCGGTTAGACCGTCAGCTGTTCTGTTGAGATGATATGCTATCGTCACATACTTACCCTTCTCTGTCCACTCATTCAGTTCATTAATTTTCTTCCAGGTGTTGTTTTGTGAGATTCATCAGCACATGTTTTTGCAAAGCAAAATGCTCATCTTTTGTTTCTGCCTCATCCCTCAAAGAAAATTCTCTTTTTCCCATTGCATTGGCATTGTGTAAGCTTGTTCTTGCTCTATTCTGGTACAGACCGCCCACTTTTGTCACAATCCAAACAATTCCATATGGAAGAAATGTAGTCACCCTGTTTCTTCTGTTGGATAGCGTCGATTACAGCCTTTTATGTAGGTCTACTAAATTTTGTGACAACTTTCTGTTCAGCATTGTTAGACATGTTGTGCACACATTAGAGTTATTTTGGATTTGCTAGTTGTCGCGCCTCTTGCAATATAGATAACGTAAAACCAAACATGCAGTGCAAGCAAGCGATGAACAAAGCGTAGACAATGTAATTCATTTATTAAGTTGTTTATCTTGATTTAGTCAAAGTTGCAATGATATCATTCAGTAACTCCGTTATAAGCCTGTTTTGGCCACTTGTCATGCTTAGGGTCATTGGAGTGATAGGAAAACACCCCGGATGGCACACTGCAGCATATATATATTAACGCAAATATCTAACCAGCCAGTCACATGGCAGCAACTCAAGGCATGTAGATCTGGTGAAGTTCAAACTACAGAATGGGGTGATTTAAGGGACTTTGAACGTGGCATGGTGGTTGGTACGGGCTGATCTGAGTTCTTCAGAAACTGCTGATCTACTGGGATTTGTACATGGGTTATATGGGATTGTCTGTCTTATGTTATTCAGAAATGCAATTCTGTCCTGTTCAAACTGACTTTCACAGTTTCCATACTCGTTTTATTGGTATCCTCTTCTCCTTGTGCTTCATTTCAGGTATGCCTTACATTTTCTGGTACAGAGCGGTCTTGCTTACGGTGTTATGATCTTCACAGGAGTGGAACACATGCACAAGTGAGTGACCTCTCAATTCCCTACACCATCAACGGCCCTGATTTCAGGAACAGGAACAACCTCATGTCAAATCAAAAATGTATTACTTTGAACAGTGTTCTCAACGGTGTCACGGCAGTCATCAAGCCATCCAGTTCACAATATGCCCGAGCTATTCGTCTAAGCGTTTGGTTTGTTGAAGAGTAATCCATGCTGCTCTCTCACAACCTTTTCATTCTTTTGAGTAAACAGCCCCGGGGCAACGAGTGAGAGTCTGTTTTCATCAGTGTTTCCACAAGTTGTATGCTGAGTGACGGCTACCTCTGATCTGAGGTCAGATGAGTGGATGTGCTGGACTATGTGGTTTGCACTGCTGCTCAGGGCGGTACCAGAAATAACCAGTGCTGCTCAATAGTGATTATTATTACAAACCAACCATCAACACTAATGTGTAGTGTGTGTACTGAATCCTAGGTCATGGCAACAAAAAACAAGGAAACTACTGACAAAATCATATGATTTCATTTCAAATTTCTAAATAGCAGTGACATCTGATTTCCCCATATCTGAAAGATTTAGATAACTGTGTTAGGTCACCTGACCTTGGCACATACATCTGAACATCCAGCCAAAAGGCCTTCCAGCATGGTTTTTGAACTTCAGATAGTAAAAAAAAGGTCATTATGACAAGTTGACCATTGGCTTCCTGCCCAGATGTTTGCATAACTGTATATTTATTATATAAGGAGTTTGTCTACGTGTACTAAACACGTAGCAGGTATAGTTCTGGGTTCAATACACCACCTAACATTTGGTTATTTCCTCTGAAGAAAAAAAAAATGAAAACCAGCAAACATCAATACTGGATATTTGATTGTGCATTCTCATTTCCCCTATTTTTACATTTGGTTTCCATTTGCCATCCTCTAACGCTCCTTATGAGTTCATCTTTAAAAAAAAAAAACCCTAAATACTTTTGAATGTGTGTATATATATATATATATATATATATATATTAGAAAATCTTAATAAGAATTTTTCATACTGTAATATTGTGCTGCTCAAATTAATTTGTAGTTTATTTTAATATCTGCCATTTATTGGTTGTCTGCTGTGACATAAAAAAATAATTATTTTAATATCAATGCATTCCTACTTAACAAACATGTCTTTGTAAAGTTAATGTTATGAACATGTAAATCCATTAATCAGATTTTTGCACGAGTACGAAAAAACATGAAATGACGTACACTGTAAAAAATACCAAATATTATACTTACCAAATATGGAGAAAAACTCAAAACATTGTATTATATGCAGGTTTTCTCTAAAAAACCTGTCATTTTTTTTTTTTTTCAACTTTTGTTTTTTGTTTTTCAACTAAAAACGGTAAAGATTCATTCCCAGAAATCCCTGCATGACACATCATGTAATATGATTAAAAAAAAAAAAAAAAATATATATATATATATATATATATATATATATATGTATATGTATATATATATATATATATATATATATATATATATATATATATATATATAATTAATTTTGTTTCTTCTTATTTTTGTGATCAGTAATTAGTTAATTGTTAGTTGATGTTATTACATGTTTATTGTATTATTTCAATTTCACATGTGCTACCCTGATATTGTTTTGTGTTGGTATATTAAGGTAAAAACAGATTTTGATTTGTTCAAGTATATCGGTATATTAACATTATATCACTTAATAAAATGCACGGTTATAAGTTGTAAAATATGCAGGCATAGTACCATCCCATAACATTTTTTTACGGGGAATTTTATGGCAACTACGCCAGCTTTTTTATCGTAAATTTAACAAGATATTTTTTTCTTTTTTTGTGTAACTGCTTTATGGTTTATGTGAATTATGTCTGTTGCAAATAACCATAACTCTCCACCTACAACAGTTATTCCACCACAAAAGGACACTCCTGAATAGATTGTGATTTTTACAATCTAATAGATTGAACCCAGTCCATTCCTTTAACCTAGTGGACTTTTCATTGATAAACTAGACCTTGAAACAACGTATTTTTAACCGTGAACGTTTCATATTAGATGTAAGATAATGTTTCAGGTCACAGTAATCTGTAGTTTGCACCGATTATGAAACAAGTCACTTTTTCTTTCTCTTGGCTGTTTGTTGTTAAGAAGGTAAAGAGCAGCAACTTGTAAATGGTCGAAGACTGATAAGATGAACTTGTGCAGGAGTCTGTGGGCATGATAGAGACATAGACCGGCCCTGTTCCCTGCAGTGAGAACAGAGGGCACATTAGGGATGCAGCGCCACAGAACAGACCTTTTGAAACTCCAGGAGACGATCAGTCAGTAATAGAGTGATGCCATGCTCCACTGCTCAGGGGAGATGAGAGGGCAAAGCAAAGGATGAAGGGAAATTGAAAAACAGGGGTGGAAAACCACTTTATTTGTGTGTGTGTGTTTGCAGAAAAAGCAGAAGTATCTATTTTGAGAGGCTCACATTACTTAACTGGTTTATTACTGGAGTCATTAAGTCATAGTAACAATAAAACTGGCATAGATTAGCTGCTGACGTGATGGTGCAAACACTTCTTATATAAAAAAAAACTGAATACTCAATACTCCATACACACTCTCTCTTCTCTGGCATTAAAGGGATAGTTAATAGATTTTTGATATGTTTTAGCTTAACTCAAGGGCATCCAAGATGTAGTTGTCTGTTTCCACAGTATTTTCAATTTTGATATTTTTTGGTCAAACCGTTCTTGTCAATCAGTCATATAATGGAGGTCTATCACCAGAGAAGTCCAAATGATTTAATGACTCGTAAATGTAAGTACACATTGATGGCCTAAGACACGAAACGAGCGGTTTGTGTGAGAAAACGAATAGTATTATATCGTTTTTACCCCTTGTCACCACGTCCAAGTGATCTGAGGGCGTGGATGCTTTGTGGCTGTGGTAACAAGAGGTAGGTCAGTCTTTTTGTTGTTGTTGTTGTTATCCCAGTTTTTAACCTTACCTTACAATCCCACTACTTTTAATCAAGATAAGTGTGTGTTGAGCTTTAGTGTGTCACAGTAAACTTTCAGTTTCATTTGGGGCAGTTTGCATCTGTGGTGGGCCATATATGAATGGCGATAGGTATTGCAGTTGCGCTGTCATATTTGCCTACACACGTTTAATTTTTTACTATTTTGGGAGGTTTAAAATATACATGTGGTTTCAACAGCCACAAGTTTTTCCAATTTCGTTTCAGGATGTGGTTTGAATGATCGGATTTAAATCCATCTCAAACCGTTACCGAGGGCATTCACACCTGGTTTTTTCACGTTTTGGATAGCTATCCTATCATAGAAACTGCATTAGTGACCAAGTGTAAACAGGCCATTTGATTTTAGGCAACTTGAGTGACTGATATTTGGTGTCACAGCAAATTTCAGGGTTTTTTATGCAAATACTTAAAAATGCAGACTGGCAATGCAAACAACTTGGCAGACAACTCCAGCCGTCACTTGGTGACCGTCAGCACTGTTGGTGTGTGAATATGCTTATAGTGCTCTAATGGATATCTATGTATTGACAGCTTGATTCTTTGAGAGTTTAAGAACCTAATATACAGATTAAATGGAGTATGTTAAGCTTTCATACAGAGGTCTTGCTTTCACGTTCAGCCTCGTGAAATATGTGAAGTCATACACAACACCAGACTACCCTCTATAACCGTGTGCCTTTAAATTCTGCTCTGAGAATTAAAGAGTTTTGGTGAAAGGTCATTCTCACAGGTCTTGTTCTGTTGCACAATGGTGTGACTGTCGCCCGTTTCATTAAAAATGACATTTTTATGCTGATTTATTGCTTTAATATGTTTCCACTCAGGCATGTCAGAGAAGGGTTTTATGACGGAGACAAGACCCCCATCTAACAGCTGCTGATAACACCTCACCCTTGTGTCTCATCTTTGTAAATTACCATCTTGAGACTTAGTGCGGCGGTCATTGCCAAATGAAAATGGAACTAGAGAGAGAGAGAGAGAGCTGCCCTCATCACGGGTCACTGGAGCTCTTGTCTGTCTTATTGGAGATGAATAGTATAAATGTATATTTATAGAAGGGCTACTGTAGAGTGTGAGTCCTTGAAAGGCAGTTTATGCCATCCAGTGGAAACTGTCTCAAGGGAAAGAGGCTGAAAAAATCAATAGGTGTTGCACGTTATGCACAACATGGCACTTTTTGGAATTGAACTTTTTTCATACAAGGAGCCAACACTTTTTTGAATAGAGATGGCTGTATATTTAATTAAAATTCTGTTTTAAATGAATATGTAAATTTCTTATTTAAATGCATTGTTTTCTTTTTTGTTTGTTTTTGGCTTTGTTTTGGGTTTTCTTGAAAGACATTGTGTGACTGTGAAAAGATTTGTGTGCACAGATCACTTTTAAATTAGTTTTAAGAAAGTTAGTTTGCACTTTCAATATATTGACTATAAGGGCTCGCTGTATATTTGTTTTCGGATTATTGCCAGGTCCAGCCGACCAATCAGAACCCATGGAGAGGCTCCATGGAGACCGGAACTAAACAGAGCTTTTTCTAGCTATGTATGTTTGCATCCAAAGTTGCTAATTTAACCTATGCGCAAAATTGGAATATCGCATAAAACATTTGCGATAAAGCACCGTTCAAAAATCACCACTTCCTGATAAACTGACGATAAATAGTACTAAGAAAAGTAGGAGAATCCACTAGCGAGGTGTTTTCAGTCATTTCAGTCCCAGCTTATGTATTCAGTCATTATTCAATGGTATGCTAAAAATCCATGTGAAAAAAAATCTAAAATGCGATTCATTTCGATTAATTAATTACAAAGCCTCTAATTAATTAGATTAATTTTTTTTTATCGAGTCCCGACCCTAAAAAAAAATATTTCTGAATGACGGCGTTTCCATTAACCCATTTTTTCCTCTTGCGATAAGTCATTCCAAAAATCATGCTTCGAGGTCTTGATAAATTGTGACATTTCTTTTTTGTTTAGAATCCAGTATTCCTGTAATTCTTTTGTCTTTTATAAGTTTAATAAAGAAATCTTATTTTCTGGCCAAACCAATGAGCCCATCTTTAAAGAATTATAGACTTTTAAAGGGATACTCCACCCAAAAATAAAAATTGTCATCAAGAAACTCATACAGGTTTGCAACAACTTCAGGATGAGTAAATGATGACAGAATTTTCATTTTTGGGTGGAGTATCCCTTTTGGGTATCCCTTTAAGTGACCTGAAAAACCACCTCATGCAAGCGTAAAATCTTTTTTTGCTATAATATGTTAAATTTAAGGGGAATGGAAACGCAACTACTGTATATAATAATTTCCGTATATAATAAATGACTTGGCTCTCAGAGCGCACAGAAGTAGAAGCAAAAAAACGTGTTGTCTATCTTGCTTTCAGAGGCAGTATACCATAATTTTGTAGGATGTAAACAGTCGTTTTCTTGCACATCTGCATCCATTATCTTTAAATTCATTATTATTGAACAAGTTAATAGAGAAACATCTCAAACTTTTTTTTTTTTTTTGCGGTTGTGGCCAATATTAACTGAACAAAAATAGCATTCAAGGATGCACATCACTACAATCCACTAAAAATGGTACAGTTCAGACATTTGGCATAATACGTTATACACTTTGGATTTGGTATGCATATGTCCCGTTGACTGACCCACCACCATTCTACATTGAAAATCACAGCTCATCTTCTAACTGTACAATGTTCCCTGTGCAACCTCCACACAATCATCCTACAGAATGCTTAAACAGAAGGTCTTCTTAGTACACACAGTGCTGCTCAGAGCTCTGATGAAGGGCCTAGTGTTGAGACCGAGCAGGCACCGCCTCTGAATACTGCGAGTGGGACTGTAGACATGTTAAACTGGCTTTGTTTGAGGCAAAGACAGAAACTACATTGCCAAGAATTTGCCAACTGTTTCCTAGTGAGGAATCGGGGGCCTTGGCTGCTTGAGTCAGAAACCTGAATGCAGCATACCAAACGTTCTGCAGCTGTGTGCGGCTGATAGTGGGAGGCTTTTGCCTCAAACTGAGGCCCTGCTGAACATCAGTGGGTCTTTGATCACTTTCAGCGCTGAATAAAAGAGCGATCCTTATCAGATTGTGGGAGGATGTTAATAAGCTGAGTTGAAGTCATGGCATGAGTCTTGGCACGAGAAATTTGTTGTAGTATGTAAATAACTTGCATGAATTAGCTTGTATAATATCAGATCGGCCAAGTGGGGCCTCGGGCTATTTAAAGATAATGGCGCCAATTGCTAAATTGAAATTAACCAACAAAATCAGAGTCAAATACTTACGGAATGTATTTGAATATTTATTATTTGACTAGTTTTGTTGGTCTCTTTGTCTTTTTATTAAGTGAAGTGAAATCAAAACAGTATATAGTAAGGAAATTATTGAACCACAAAAAATATTTGTAATTGGACAATGTCTTTCCAATGAAAATTGGTTGTCTATTTGGATGATGCTGTGAATTTGCTGTTTACTGAATATTGCACCAAATATACTGTATACTTAAAAATAGATGTAAATTGTAAACATTTTAAACAGAAAGATATTGTCACATGACCTAACTACGTTTAATTCAGTGAGAGAATTAATTAATTATTATTATTTTTATTTTTTATTTTACATTTCAACTCAGTCTTCTGAGTAATTTGTTTAGACTGCCAAAAGTAAGCCAATAAAGGGATGTTAAAATTACTTGGGGTTTATTTGTCAAGCAGGAAATGGGAGGACAATTTTTTAGTGTAAATTATTTTCACTGTGTGGTTTATGTATACTGCACTTTTTGCATACTTAATATTTGCATAGTGCCCGCAATATACACACTGCTGAAATGAAATAGGCCTAGTATTTATGTTGTATGTTTTACCAAATATAGCCTTTTTTTAACTCTTCCCCTTGTTTGCCTTCTTCTCTTTAGATACTGCTTTGTGGTTACGCTGGGATATCTCAGTTTCTGCCAGGTCACCAGAATCTTTGTATTTGACTATGGCATGTACTCAGCTGACTTCACTGGGTAAGTTATTTTAGCACTGCATTATCACTTTTTTGCTAACTGAAAAAAAAAAAATGTTTTCCAATAATAATGGGAAAAAAACTAACTAAAATAAATTTGAATGTCTCCAGAACTAACAAAAATGTAATTTCATTACAAAATGTTCCTGCATTAAAGACAAAACTCTTGTTATATAGCAATAACACTTGCCTGTGCTGAGAAATTAAATTATATAGTTATAAATTGATTATAGTTATTCTGGTTTAGTTTAGATTACACTACTCTTCACGAGTTTGGGGTCAGTAAGAATTTTTTATGTTGAAAGTAATCTTTTATTCTTTTATTCCGCAAGTATGAAATCGATTAAATTAATCAGTATTGATTGCCAGTAAAGACTTTTCTATTTTAAGTAAATGCTGTCCTTTTGTAATTTCCATTCATTAAAGAATCTTGAAAAATATAAAAATAATTAATCCACAAAAATAGAAAACAGCTATTTTAAATTACAAAACATTACAGTTTTACTGTATAAAATAAAAATAAAGATAATTCTTTCAAAAACAATTAAAATCTTTTACTACCCAAAACAGTATTGTATCATTTATATAAATACTAAAACTATAAAATGAAATTAGAAAACACTGAACATATTAAAACCTAACAGTAATGTAGCGACAACTAACCAAAACTAAACTAAATTCAAAAGACAGTTTAAAACAAACAAACAAACAAACAAGAAAAACCTAAATTACAATATTCACAACTATAAGTACTGGGGTTTTCATTGGGGTGTCCGTGTCTGTTGTGAAAAGATGCCTTGCATGCACCCCAACATTCTCACTACCTATAGACTGAACATAAGAAGAAAAAAAATCACTGTGTTCTGCTTTGCAATAATCTCAATAAAATATGCTTGCATTAGGCTTTATATTTATTTATTTCAAGAAAAGAGTTAAAAAAAAAAATATATATATATAATGTGTATATATATATATATATATATATATATATATATGTGTGTGTGTGTGTGTGTGTGTATATATATATATATATATATATATATATATTAACACTGATACTAGTAAAATATATATTTAATAATATGCCTCAAATAATGTTCTTAGTCTTTCCTTCCTGTGACAGGGCATCACAGACATAAGCTAAAATAGTTTACTTTAAATTAATTGAAAATTCAAGTAAATTACATAGTTTCTGTAACTAGTTTGTGTTTGTGTAATGCAAATAATAACTGCATGGAAATTGAACACACAGCCTGAAATAGACGGGGGCTCTTATTTTGAAATGTCTATGCTCATTCAACTTCACAAAACATGCAGTCTTAAAACCATACAACATGTTACTATATACACACCGGTGCGTCTACATTCACCCTCAAAATGATCAGGCTCTAGTTTTACTTCTGGATCAAAGCAGATCAGAATTATTTTCACCAAGGTGAACACAACTCTTGAGAAGCTGTGTGGAGATGTGGTCAATACAGCTGTATAAATAATAAATGTTGAATAACTTGGTTTGATAGAAGTGGAACCACTCACGTACATGTGGATCCAACAATCAATTTCAAGTGCTAACAGGATCTCACATACACTCTTTCCTTTTTCCCCCTCTGTTTCCAGGCCCATGATGGTCATCACACAGAAGATCACAAGTCTGGCGTTTGAGATTCATGATGGTTTGTAACAGTTTTATTAATTCCATTGTCATCTTCATGGTTGCAAAGCCTCGATAGCGACTAACTGGCATGATTTCTACCTGAAATCTTTCTACAGCTCTATTGTTTCTTTCTATGCCCATGTTAGAGGCTCTAGGAATTACATAAGGGCTGTTAAACCCTGCTGCTACACCACGTCCTCGTATGCCATTGATTTGTACCATTGCTGGCGCTGCACTCTAGTGAGTGGGCCAAAGTAGTTAGGGATGCCAGCTGGATGTTGCGCTTCAGACCGCACTTACCTCATCCAAAACGCTATATCGCTTATTATGCAGCTTGGTGAAATCTGTTTAATGAGATACTAATTGTGCTACATCACCACATCATTTTTGCATGATCTGGATCATTGATAAAGGAGAATGAAGGTGGTTTTAACTTCCTCTGAGTTTGTGAAAGAGACCGTTCATCCAAAATTATTTTACGTAATTTTAGCAAAAAAAACACCATATTTGAATATACAGTACCGTTCAAAAGTCAGTAATATTTTATTTTTAAAGAAATTATCCATTTTTTAACACTAAATCAGCATTTTAGAATGATTTCACTGAAGGCGGGAGTAATGATTGTGAAAATTGAGCTTTGCCATCACAGGAATAAATTAATTTAAAATATATTAAAATAGAAAAACTTTACTTTGTATTAATATAATAATAAAATAATAACAATAAAAGAAATACATTTTGCTGAATTGAATTGATTTTTTACTGTATTTTTGATCAAATAAATGCAGCCTTGGTGAGTATAAAACTAACATTAATACAACAAGCAAAACGTGTTGCAGTCTTTATTCACCTTTGTTAACACACTAGTTAATAAAAATACAGCTGTCCATTGTTTGTTCATGTTAGTTCACAGTGCATTAATTAATGTTAACAAATACAACTTTTGATTTTAGTAATGTATTAGTAAATGTTGAAATTAAAATGAACAAAAAGTAATAAATGCTGTAGAAGTTCAGTTCATTATTAGTTTATTAACTAATGAAACCTTACTGTAAAGTGTTACCAAGACCAAAGTTCTTCCAAAAACATTCTTACTGAACATTCTTACAATCGTGCTGATCCCAAAGGTTGGCTAATGTCTTTTTTTTTTGGTCTGAGATAGAAAATATTGTGTGTGTCTGACAGTTATGTGGTAATTTTATTTATTTATTTATTTTGGTCTGAGATAGAAAATAGTGTATGTGTTATTTTTGTAACTTGTCCGCCTCTGGTCACCATTCAATTTCATTGAATGGAAAAGAGCAGCTTTGACTTTCTTGAAAATATCTTTTGTGTTCCACAGAAGAAAAGGGTTTGGGATGACATCAGTAAATATTGACACATTTTTCATTTTTGGGTGAACTATCCCTTTAAGCACAAAGTAATGAGCAGCAGAGGACACATGATGGCATCAACCCAAAAGAAACCACTCTAGTTTTATCAACGACCGGCAAATCTCACATGCAAACAATGCGACTGATAAGCAAACTAGATTGCACACCATCCTAGCATAGTTTTTTACATACTTAGTCAAGCACAGAGCTAATCGCTGTAATATGTCACCGAGTCACTTTTAGAGTCAAACAGAAGTGGCATCACAGTCACCACATTTCCTTTAACGGGGTTTTTGGGAAGAGTACGAGAGCACATCCCTTTTCTCTGAAGCATTTGCTCACAGAGCAGCTGGCCTGGCCAAAACTGCAGCCCAGCACTTCTGAGCGGCCTCCGCAGGACTTGCCCTGCTCCACTGCAGGCAACACACATGACATATTAATCCATGTGATTTAATGAAGTTATGCAATCATCTCCTCCCTCCTCCACTTTATGGAGAACTGAACTCAGACTAAAAGTGTGGCACTCTGATCATTTGGCAAATAGATTTTTTGTACTTGTTTATTTAAATGGGACTATGCATATTAATGAACATCTTAGCTTTTCAGCAATGTAAATATGCCAGAGTTAGCCCCAAGGCTATTTTTCATCTGCAGTCCCCCGTCAGGTCATCCCAATATCAAGTAACAAGGCTAAACATTGAAATTAAATATGATTCTACTCAATATAAAGGACACCATAATATTCAAACAACATATTATAAAACATACCACCGTGAAATGATCTTTGACTTGTGCTAGACTAATGATTATTCTTAATAATTATATATATATATATATATTTAGCCTTATTTAAAATACTTTTATTTTTGGCCTTTGTCAAATGCTAGAGATAATACAGAGGTGACCGGAAAATATTAAGGTGTAGAATGCTGCAGTGATGACGTATTTTTGTTTACCAATCTGGAAAGAAGCTCTGTGACCATGTTCGTTCGTGAGAAAAATGTACAACTATATTGAATTTTGAAGGCTAAATACAATTACCAGAAGTAAAAAGCTAAATGTATTCAATAAACAAACTACACCCCGGTCACATGACTTTAACACAACCACAGTTTCTGACAGCTCTTTCAGTCTTTATTTAACCCTTATATGTTTAAAATTAATAGATTACGGAATTTAAGATGGCAGTTTTACCAAAAAAAAAGGCAAAAGTGTGTATATGAACAGCATACTGTTCTGTAAAAGCGTACTAGAGTAGATGAGTTTACCTGTTCGTCATGATGTTTAATGTCCCGTCCTAATTAGCCACTTTTTCAAGACAAGTAAAAGCTTTTTTTTTATATCACAAGAGGGTATTACTGATGTTTTTTATGTTTTGGAATTAAACAAGAAAAAATATCTTGAGCTTGTGTGAACCACGCAGCTTAATTCTGGCATTGAACCAAAAACCCATTCCAAAAACCCATTGAACCAGAAGTGCTAAAATGCTGACTCATTTCCAGATTTTGGCCTACAAAAATATGCCATCCCTCTAGACACTCTAGGAACTGATTCAAACCTGAGTCTCCTGCATTAGCTTAATGTGTCTGTAGCTATTGTGCTAACTGCTAGGCCATGGTTCTGCTGTAATATAATGCAGTTTGTTGTGCTATTAATACAAGTATGTTTCAATGGGTCTGTGTAGAATCTGTTTGTGTGCTGCCTGGTGAACAAATATCATGAGGTGTTGTTGATTCTGTCGCATTTGCTGAAGGAAGAAGAGTGGAATTGTGTCTGTGTGTACATGGCATGCTGCTGTTGGTTATGCAATTCCCAGCAGCCATTAAAACCTGCTGAAGCTGATAGGGTGACTAATCTAGTTGTCAGTGCATCGACGGAGATGAATGAACGATGGCTTGATCTCTTTTCTTCACTAACCCGAGAGACTTCACCGCTCCAGGCTGGAGCAGAGCAGCTCAGTGCTTCAAAACACAACATCACTGCCCGTAGACTCTTAATCAGCGTCTACAGTCAATGGTAGTGTGTGTGTATTAGGCGTATACAGTAGCTGTATATTTGTCCTATCGTCACTGTACGGTTTGGTGCATGCAGTCAGACGACGAATACAGTCAGTCACAGGTGATCCTCCAACGCAGAAGGGGGCGCTCAAGGTCATGTAACATTCCCTGTGTCCCAATTCGCCTACTTATACTACGCCCTAAAAGTATGTACTCTTTTTGTGAAGAAAAAGTACATACTTTTGAGTGTGTAGCAAAAGAGTAGGCAAGCTTTGGGACATACTACTGCGTCATCTTGAACGGACAGCTCTGTCGCGTGCATCATCATCTCGTCACAGTTAAAATCCTCCATTCGATCTAATTTAATTTCTTACTGTTTCAGAGAGAAATGTTGTAGCAGTTGTGGCAGATGAATGTGCTCGTCTAAATGATGAATGTGTGAACATTTAATTAATTTATTCCTGTGATGGCAAAGCTGAATTTTCTGCATCATTACTGTCACATGATCCTTCAGAAATCACTCTAATATGCTGATTTGGTGTTCAAGAAACACTCTTATGCCTCGTTTCCACTGAGGGGTACGGTATGGTACGGTACAGTACGGGTCGGGTACACCATGATCAGGCTTGCGTTTCCACCGCCAACAGTACCCTTACCTGATAGGCGTGGTATGCTGGAAAGAAGCGATCGACGTCATTTTCGCGCGAAGAAAGCGACATAGTAAACATACAATGGATGACGGACAGTAGATCTTGTTCTCGCTTCTCGGCATGTTTGTCACTAGAAACAAGCGCTGGCATTAGGCGTTTCCAAGAAGCCAACGCAAAGTCCGCGACGCGAGTCCAGTAGTTCTGCCAATGGAAGAGCGCGTTCTTGAACGCGGCACTCAGCTCGCTCGGGCTATGCGACTCCGGTTATCCCTGTATGTTCATTTTAGGCAACAATAAAACGAAATATGTTATAAAACACCACTCTGCTTCTTTTCGATTTCATTTCAATGTATTTTAAACATTCTAAAGCACACAAATGTGCAACGCATAGCCTTGATTATATTCACTGCATGTAGCGTTATTTATAACAAAACTAAATATAAAACAACCCTGCCTCTTTTCGTTTAAATTTAAAACTATTAAACATATTCCAGGCAATATGTAGCCTAATGTATTGCATAGGCTATCGCATTGGTACAAATGTTGCAATAAACAACATTACAGATGATCTTGTAATAAAATAAAATATGACAAAACTATCTCTTTTTCTTGAATTTCAGTTTTATCAATAATAGCCATTATAAAAGTATAAGTAAAAAGTACATAATAATATTATATATATAATACATAATATAATATAATAGACAAGCTTAAATATAACATCAAGAAACAATTCAGTCAGTCAAATATACTCAGCGCTCAAAGATATGAAACTTCACGTAGCCTTCTGCCAAAACTATTGGCCAGGAAACTAATTATAGATTCACGAGACCAAAGATCGCCTGTTAGGTTTATACAAGACGAACTATATCTCATGTTTAACCACTAAAGAGACGTTCGAGTCAGCAGCAAACATCAGAACGACTAGCCGAGGAAAGGCTGTTCCAGGCGGGGGACACGAGTGCGAGCGTCCGGTGATCGCTTAGAATGGATCTCAGTCAAATTATCATAAATCTATAAATAAACCACAGATTTGAGCTTTAAAAAACTACATTTCGTGACACAATAGCAGTAGAATTATATTTCAACTGTATATGCTTTTAATGCCCTTGTAGCACGCGCGAGTGACGATACTCCGTCAACCAATCAGCGTTCTGCAGTGAGTCTAGCTCCACCTTTTAGTACCCTTTCACTGTGCTAGGTACCCCAACGGAAGGGTACCCAAAAAGTGGTACGGTACGGTTCGGCTTTTTGGTACCATTCACAAGTTTTGACAGTGGAAACGCAAATAATTGCGTACCGAACCGAACTGTACCGTACCGTACCACTCCATTATTGTTATCATCAATGTTGAAAACAGTTGTGCGGTTGTTTTTAGGATTCTTTAATGGATAGAAAGTTTTAAAATGGAATAAAAAATAGAAATCTTTTGTAACATACTGGTAATTTTGATCAAATGAATGTGTTCCTGCTGAATGAAAGTATTAATTAAAAGAGGGGAAGAGAAAGAGATACTTGTGTTTATTAATTATTTGCATGTTTGCTCTCACTAAGCCTGTATAATAAAACATTTTTGTATTTGACATGTAACTTTAAAAGCGCTGAATGTGTAATCACAGCTGCACGATTTCGTTTCCATTTGTGCTTTACGAGTGTGTGTGACTCTGCATCGTCACGTGGGCTTCATTCACACATATTTGCTGTATAACTGCTGTTTCTGCAGGTCAGTGTGAACCACAGGAACCCACTGGCCTCAAACACCCATCCGCACACACACACACACTGCTGCAGTACTGCTGCATTATAATCCCACAGAGCAGTATTTGTCATCTGTGTTTCTAAATAACAGTGTATTGTTGTGTGAGTGTGTCTGATGAGTTTGGACCTGTGTTTGTGTGTTTTTCCCACAGGCTTGATGAAGAGGGAGGAGCACCTAAAGCCCAATCAGAAGTATCTTGCTGTCAGGTATGTGTGAAAGGTATGTTTGTGGTTGGGATGAGGTCACTCATTTACTTTCTGCTTCTTTTGAAAGAAAATCAACTTCAAACCCACACTGACAACATATATATAATACATATAATATCATATATATATGATATGATGAATACAACGGACATTTAGTGAGATTTGTCGTCTAATCATGGCAGAGAAATTGAGACCGATTCAAGATATAACGTCCCACTTACTGATCAAATGCTTGTTAGTCCCCTCAGAGAGTGCACAGCATTGTTTATTAACAATAGTTTTGAGTGTAATATGGTTCTGCATTGCCCAAATAGCAGCATAGCTCTTGGAGAATCATTTACAATCAGGCCCTGAAGGCTGTTGCCAAGCAACTGAACATTCCCGCCGCATCATGTGAGCCAATTTCCACACAGGAAGTCGTCAGGATTCTGAGTTTTCAGAAGTCACACCCGACAGTTAATGAGTGCCGTTTTGGACAATGTTTGCGTCACAGAATGTTAACCAGTATCTCAATGTTTACATTCTGGATGAGTTGCATTCTTGTTCAAACAATGTTAATGTTATGTTTGTTCATTGCTAAAGTGCTGGTCAAATATTCTACAAACACTGAGACATTAGCAATCAAATCAAGTTCCTGTAATTGTACTGTAAAACTCTTATATCATTTTATTAAATTGTTGTCCAGCTGTTTTAAAAGAGTAATAAGCACAGTGACAAAATGCTACTTGACTGTTCATGACAAATGTGTCAGATTAATTTTAGCAACGTTTGTTAGTTAAAAACAAGCAATTTATCTAGAGAGTCCCAGAGTTTAAAGTCCCGTTTATTGATAGACTGTGATTCATCACTAGTTTTTAGCTTTTATGTAAAATTGGGAAATTTCTCATTTTATTTGTTATACATTAATCTTTGTAAGTTTAATGCTGAGATTTCATTTCAAGAAATACAAAATATTGCAAAAAATATATACATATTTATTTAGTTTTTAATCTATTTGCCGTTTATATTTTTTATTTGTCACATTATATGTTATATTTGAAAATGTCATTAAAAATATATCACTATCTAAATAACCTCATTAAATAATAATTTTGATGTCATTTTCGTACCGTTTTGGTGCTTTAAACTGTTAATAATTTCTAGCTTGTAGTGCAGCTTTTTCAAAAAGGTTGCTTAACTTGTAAGTTTAACTTGTAGCTTGTTGTGAAGCTACAGTTTCAGAGCTGCTTCCCATGATCCCATAATTAATGGCCTTGTAACATGAAATGTATTTTTATCATTCCCTGCTTGCTTAAATTAATGTATAAAAAACATTATACTAATAACATTAATATGTTAAAGCAACACTTTTACCTTCAAATAATGTTTCCAAAATCGTTTCAGTGATTCATCAAGACGTAACAGGGTGAAAAACACTTCTGGATTCGCTTTGCGGTCCTATATCTGCTATAACCACGCATTGGATCGCGTTTCTGTCTTTTTAATGAGACATAAGAAAACTACAAATTTGACTTGCTTTACGCCAAGCGTTACAATAGTCGTTATTTTGTTTTTTCTTCTTCGTTTCTGATGTCACAGAGGAAAAGTTCCTTAGTGTTGCTTTAACATTAGTCCTTTTTCAATATTATCTCTCCTACAGAGCCAATCATGATTTGGTATTTGATATTTGGTGTGCTTTGTTGGTTAATTCACTTTATGTGGTGAGTTATTGTTGTTCTGTCCTTGTGTTTTCTGTACAGGAAGATGCCCAGTCTGCTGGAGTATCTGAGTTATAACTGTAACTTTATGGGGATCCTGGCCGGCCCAACCTGCTCCTATAATGATTACATAGCCTTTATAGAAGGCCATTGCTACGAGCCCAAGCACCTGGAGTCAAACGGCAAAGTGAATGGGAAATTCAAGCAGAATGACCCTTCACCTAAGGTATTGTATTGACTCGGTTCTCTTGCTCCCTCTGGTGACTGAATCAGGGTTAGAATCAGAGCTGCACACTAAAGACATTAGTAGTTTTGACCACATTTGGGCTGTCATATATACATATATCTCAAACACAACACAAACCCCAAGAGGAAAATGTGACGGAACCAGTTTTGCAGTCCTTACAAGTAAAATGCTTTTTGAGAGAGGTGTTACTTTGGTGTGGACAATGAAGACAGTCAGGTTCACTGACAAGACTTTGATTTTAATTGACATTAACTGAAAATCTTTGCACTGTATGCTAAAAACATCCTTATTGGCGTGGCTTTATCTTTTTTCTTATCCAGTTTTTTTTTTTGTCATTTAAATCAATGACAATCTTCTTAGACAGGAGGTCATATTACTCAGGCTTTGTTTGTTTTGACTGTAGTTCTGGAGATGAACATGCTTTTATATGCATTCCTTCCTTAGGAGCTTCACAATGGTTTTAGTTTAATGGATTTCTCCAGAAACGACTCACCAGTAAAAGCTTCAGACCTCATTGGATATCGTCAGTAGTAAATGGTTTTCATTCTTAAAAGACGAAGATCAATAAAAACATTTGTTGAATCCGTTCCGTTCACAAATGAATTTCCTGTCACACAGACGCTGCCGTATAATTCACCATCTAGCTCTTTCTGCTCTTCAATGATATGATCATTGGAAAGTAAAATTAGTTATTTTGTCATGATCGTGAAGAAACATCTTAAAGACTTGGGTATGAAAAACTATTGAACATTCACACTATATGGGGTAATTTGTCACAATGAGACTGATGCTTATGGACGCATAATAAAGAAAGAAAAATTTTCTATTTTCTATAACACTACAGCTCATATGTTAGTAATGCGAGTTATTATTACATGATCCATCAAAGATGCAATAAATCATCAACAGTGATCGTAAAGACATTTATGTTTCAAAAGATTTCTATTTCAAATAAATACTATGTATTCATCAAAGAATCCTAAAAAATTCCACAGAAAGTAGCACAACCGTTTTCAACATTGATAAAAAATAAATATTTATTGAGCACCAAAAAGCCTATTAGAATGGTTTCTGAAGAATCATGTGACACTGAAGATTGAAAACAAATCATAACAGGATTTTTATAATTTATTATAAATTGTAATAATATTTTACAATATTACTGTTATTTACTGTATTTTTATCTAACAAATGCTGCCTTGGTGAGCATAAACATTCAAAAACATGAACTTACTAACCCCAAAGTTTTTGAACGGTAGTGTATCTGTTTTTAAAATGTGATACTCTTTTCAATGGCTTTTTAAACTACTGTGGCGCAACTTTGGCACTATTTAATGGCTTTTTGAGGACAGTTTCATAGATTGTAGTGTCCTGACTCCCTGCAATGGTGTGTTTTGTTCTTCTAGCGGGACGTGATCCAGAAACTGTGCACCTGTGTTCTGTCCCTGATGGTTTATTTGGTGATCTACACCGCCTGCCCTACAGATCGTGTCATCGATGACACCTTCATGGCCTCTAACCCCTTCTACGTCCAGGTCTTGTACCTCTACATCTCCATGTTGGCTTTGCGCCCCAAGTACTACTTTGTATGGACGTTAGGTGAGTAGGACAGATGGGCAATGTGCTCTTCTTATGTATATAATAAAAAACATCATACTTTTAATGAGGTCATGTGACAACAGTGGTTTGTTTAATGAGGTCATATGACAACATTACTGTGATAAAATTAAACTTTGGATGTATATTTCTTATTTTAAAACGAACCGTATAAGCGTATGTTGTACACAATGTTCAAGGCAACGTCATACTGCCCTCTTGTGTTCGTAAAGGGTGTTTTTTCTGAATTGTTGCCTTGTTTCTAATTGGATAATTCATTCACATTGTCAGTTTTTGGGATTGACAATTGCATTTGTTTATAGGTGTAAGTCTCAAAATGTCCTGTTTTCTCAGCAACTTAGAAACTACTATCTGAATGAACGTGCAAAGGGAGTCGAGCCTGCATCTGCATTAAGGACTCAATCACTACGGTTGTGTGTTTGAGTCCTTAATGCGGTTATGTTCACACACAGGTCAGTTAACCGAATTCACACCTGTAGATTTTCAGGTCTCGCAACCTCATTCCCGAAAAAACCCACTCTGTGTGAACGGAACCAGACTGGACGACTACTTGTCCGTCACGTTGTACAACACTAGAGCTGCACAAACGCATGTCTACCATGTATGATTTCGGTAACTTACAGTGATGGAGATATAAGCTGTCGTTTGAAGGTTTTATATCCAGTCACTGTTCTCCACCAGAGCTGTTTTGTGCTCTTCGCCCATCTCAAATGCTCTTCTCTCAACCCAGATAAAATCTGCTTCGGATAATGAAGATTTGACGGATGAATTCGCAGCTCGATTGGACTTGTTGCGTCAAAATTGATATGACTTTTCAGTTTTATGGACTTTACTGGTATGAGAAAACGGGCTTGACTCCCATTGCAAGTTCATACTGACAGTATTCAAGATGCTACTGAAAGTTCCTGTTTGAATGGGACATTTCGAGACTCACACCTGTGAGTAAATGTGGTTTTCAAACCCTAAAACTGTCAGTGTGAATGTAGCCTACAGGACTGACAACCAAATTCTGCCGCTTTGTGAACAAAAACACTATCTTCCCTTTGAGATACTAAATTCTTTCACTCTTTTACAGCCGATGCCATCAACAATGCAGCTGGCTTTGGATTTAATGGATATAACACAGATGGCACCCCAAGATGGGACAGAATATCAAATTTAAGAATACTTCACATTGAGGTACGACACTGCTCTTTCTAGGGGTGTAACAAAACCCTGAAGTCACGATCCTATACGATATTATTGTGATACTCCAAAGGCATATGATATAAAAGGTTAAAGGGACACTCTGACTTTTTGGGACTTTCGCTTATTCACCGTATCCCCCAGAGTTAGATAAGCCCATACATACCTTTTTCATCTCTGTGCATTCTGTAACTCTGTCTGACACACCCACCGCTAGCCTAGCTTAGCACAAAGACTGGAAGTTAATGGCTCCAGCTAGCATTCTAATCCCAATTAGTGACAAAATAACGCAAACATTTTCCTATTTATATGTTGTGATTTGTATAGTCACGGTGTGTACAAATAACAAAGTCATATGAGACACAGCCATCTTTTAACCGTATACATCCTGGGAACTATATTCTCTGAAGGCGAAGCACTGCTACTTGGGCAACACTCTCTGGTCCTCACCACGGGGCTCATAGTATGAGACGCCGGACTGGACAAAAGCGAAGTGAACTGCGCGACTCGGTATTGCATTGTGGGTGTAAATGAACAGACTTGGACTTTGTGCTACAGTATTAACATAATACTCAGGACAATGGTGACACCAGAATAACAATATTCATGATTCTGAAGCTTAAAATACAGAATTATATTAGACGAATTTGCTTGCATTGACTAGACATATTTAAAATAATGTAGGCCACTTTTTACTGGTAATGTAAGACATTTGGCATTATCAGGACCCACAGATTGTATTGTTATACATTATATTCAACTTTATAATTTAATGTAGTACTGACACTAAAAGTCTGTAAACTTGATTTTTTTTCATCACACAGAAATTTTATTGTGAACTATTCACAATACATATTCTTACACCCCTAAGTACTTCCGCGTTGGTCTTCCCACTCGACCTGAACCCTTATATATCATCTTTTTCCTTATGTCCTCAACAGTTTGCCACCAGCTTCAAGATGTTCTTGGATAACTGGAACATTCAGACAGCCCTTTGGTTAAAAAGGTGAATGCTGCAAAACAGAAGAACCTTGAATGAGCTTGTCGTCTTCCTGAAATCTCAGAAACAAGCTTTTGTTGTTTTGTCTCCGCAGGGTGTGTTATGAGCGCTGCCCGTACAATCCCACCGTGGCCACATTCCTCCTCTCAGCCATCTGGCATGGACTTTACCCGGGGTATTACCTGACCTTTGTCACGGGCATTGCTGTAACAATGGCTGCAAGGGCAGTAAGTATTCTTTACATGAGATGGGCTGTCAAAGTAAGGACGAAAGTCAGAAAAATATCACAAAGGTTTTATCTGATGAATAATTGGAATTCAGATTTTTACATTTGATTAAATTGGATGTTTGGTTTTCTCCAATAATGAAGGAGAGGCATGCATGGGCCGTAAAAAGATGTGCTCAGCCAGGGGTTATTATTCATCTAGTCATATACTGCATAAAACTACTATTCCTCTGTCACACTGTAATGATCAAGCAAGGTCTCTCCAACTAAAGAAAAAACTAGGTCACTTACTAACAGTAGTCCATCTTAAAATGCTACTCGGAATATAAACTCTTCTGCCCACGGCATTGCCTGCATGATACACTGTTAAATCAAGAGCCGTTATCACTTTTCAAACTCAAAACCATTACTGTGCTTACTGCACATGAATACGAATATTCTTACATTAATTTGGATATTCTGAATATGTACTGAAATCTACTTTCATAACCTATCTAAATAAATATTCCCGTTTTTAGACATATGAATGAGACTAAATATGAATATTGCAATTAAATATTATTACAATTTAAAATAACTCTTTTCTATTTGAATTTATTTTAAATGGCAATTTATTTCTGTGATCAAAGCTGACTTTTCAGCATCATTACTCCTGTCTTCAGAGTCACATGATCCTTCAGAAATCATTCTAATATTCTGTGCTACTCAATTTGTTTGTATATATATATATATATATTTGTATTTATTCTTTTAATATATATATATATATATATATATATAATATTTATAATATTGATATTATATTTATAATATTGATATTATTAAATATATATATATATATATATTATATATATATATATATTTTTTTTTCAATAAGTTCAAGTGAACAGCATAGCATTTATTTAGAATATGTAATGACTTCTCTGTCATTTTTGATAATTAAATGCATTCTTGCTGGATTAAATTATTTTTTTTATTTATGTAAATTCTGTGTCAAATAAATACCATATTCAGATCCACCAGTCATTTATATCTGAACATGTCAACATGACATTGGGATTATGGTTGCTACATAATAATACAGTCAGTTGTAAAACATTAAACAATAAAATAAACATCTTTGGAATTAATATTCTAAATTACATGTGTACAATATCTTTAATGCCTTAACTTTTTTGATTGAAGACAAAAAAATATGATAATTTATGTTTTACATTTTTTTTTAAAGGATCATTGTTTTTTAGCCCTCATTATATTGTTTGAACATTTTAAAGTTACTCTATTTCCTCTTTTTTTCAGGTAAGACACAATGTGAGGCAACACTTCCTGGGCTCAGACACACTCAAGCTCATCTATGACGTGATCACGTGGTTCAGCACGCAGATCGCCATTTGTTACACTGTTGTGCCATTTGTACTGCTGGCAGTAGGGCCTTCACTAAAGTTTTATAGGTCAGTAATGCATTTGCACCAGTATGTGAGCACTCCAGACGTCTCTGACCCCTGCCGTTAAAGATTCACCTCGTCTTTGATGATAATTCATTAATAAAGAAGTGAAAAGCTTTAAAGAGCAGGCCAGGGAGTCATTGTAAACCCAACTAACCCAAGAGTTATTAGCGCAAGACATGAAGCTGACAGGTAAAAATGAGAGGCTGATTTTATCTCTTGCTCCATTCATTAGACAGCTTTAAAGGCCAGAGTCTGGTGACACTTTATGAGCTAGCGGAAGGCTGTGTATTTCACAGCTTCTGCTGAGATAAATGAAATCTATGATGGTCATTTGCTGGAGCAGGGCTGTTAAATGAATCTGCCTGAAGAACACATAAAGCATTTTCATTAAAGAGCCAGAATTAGGTCAAGAGATTGGCGACTGGCCACTGCAGATCAGATTGAAGGCTGTGGGAGATGTAAATTATGTCAAGGTGATGAGGAGCTCAGTTTATCTCAGTGACAACACTGGGAAATCCAAGATCCTATTGGAAAGTAATGTAGCCGACTGCATAAAGATCGGGGGCCTCGTGTATAAAGCTTAATTTCATCTAAATTTGTGTACTTATAAAACAAATGTGATATAAAGCACACATTATTTTATTATAATTTATTTTATTATCCCTAATGTTAGAAGATTGCACAACTTTTTTCCATAAATGTCTCCTCCCCAAAATAACCACGTAGCTTATATTTTAATTAAAATAAAGTATATATTTTCAGATTTTTTTTTTATTCTTGTTCAAATCTATGAGTGTTAAATGTCTTACACTTTAAAAAAATGTGTTTGGTTCATTTAAATATTTATGTAAAACTACCGATGTACTAAGCATCAAAATTATAATCAATAAATGACAATCACATAAGTAAAATTCCTAATGTGCTGTCTGTCATTTTCAGCTCATGGTACTGCTGTATTCACCTGATCTGCGTGTTGCTGGCGCTGGTTTTACCTGTGAAGTCCAGACGCAGGAAACAACAGGAAGAGGCGATCAGCATTCAGGCCAGTGAACAGAACTGCCTCTCCTCTCCTGACAACAACTGCAACCAGAAGCAGAAAGCCACATGAGGGCAGGACTGGGCTGCCTTGTGAGGAACTCTGATACCAACACTGAGAGACACAGAGCGGCCATTACCTCCCTCACATCCAAACGACACTGACAGTGACATTAACAAGGCATAAACTCCAGCAACAATACAGAGAAAAGAGACCGTTTCCCCATAGTTGCCCTGTTGGAGTTGGTCTCGTTTTGGTTTTAAATAGGAAATCTTCATAGGATTTGGATGAAAATGGGGTGATTAATTATAGAATATGGTATATAATTGACTTAAGTGTCAGTTAATCTGAAGTTGCCTTAAACCCTTCGTATATTTAGCTCCAGAAGCCTCGTATGGGGATCGTGTTACATAGGAACGGACCAGTCGTTGTTGGCTTATAGCTTCACTACATTAGTGCAGGAAGTCTAGCACTGGAATCAGCTTCCACGGTACCTAGAGGGTTTCTGCCATTGTCGGTTAAACAAAGTAACCTCCGTGCTGTTTTAGTTCTTCGCAAAGGAAATGTGTGCGGTAAAGGAAAAAAAAGAGTCCAGTCGTGTGTTGCCAAACTTGCAGGCCTTAAGTTCCTATATCTTGCCATTGTTTTATCTTTATTCCTTCTCTTTGGTTTTCTAGTAGGTTCATATCTGCTGCTTTTTGGGAACAAGGGTCAAACTTAAGGGAGTGTCTTCATTTCATGTCAGTGATTTTTGTTTATTTCATTTTTTATTAAGGGCTTTTGGTTGCGTTTAAGGGTTGTATCAATGCTGTTTTTTAATGGGTGATAGGTTTCCTCAGGGCACACAGGTCTCGTTTTAATCCATGACAAATGACCAGATGTTTCTCTACCATCTATGTTTCTACAGCAACATTCAATATCTCAGCATGTTTGTGTTTTTTTATGTTGCAGACATGTATGGTAAGTGCAATAACCTGTATCTTTACAATGGGTGCATGTTAAAGGGTTAGTTCACCCAAACATGAAAATCATTATCAACTCAAATTGTTCCAAACCTATATGAATTTCTTTCTTCTGCTGAACACAAAAGAAGTAGCTTTGAAGAATATGGCTAACCAATCAGGACCCCATTAATTTCTATAGTATAGAGAGGAAAATTGGGGTCCATCAACCGTTTGGTTACCCATATTTTTCAAAATATCTTGATACAATTTTCATTTTTGGGTGAACTTTCCCTTTGAGCTACAGGATCACATTATTTTTGCAAACAGTGCTAATGTTCTTGTCACATCAACTACAGTAAGAGTTTTCTAGTGGTTCAGTATTGAAGTGCAGTACTCGTATACTGGACATGCAGTTTCAACTATTCAAAATCTATCTTTTCTTTTTTCTCGATGAATCCATCTGTCTTCTTGGGCCCTAAAGAAACCTGTACACTTTTTGATATCATATAAGGATATCTCTTGAACTTTGACCCCCTAAAAGGTATCGGAGAACTCTTTGGATCCAAGTGTCTGGAAAATCAGACTTTTTCATATTTCACCCAAAATCTACTTTTGGATAATTATGTTGTTGTGTTTATTTTCTACCAACGGTTTTAGCCCTTGGTCAGAGCGACTCTACATGTTTGTTTGTTTTTTATTTGGTAATGAAGGGCTGAAGGGACTAAAGCGTTTACCAAAGTGAGTGTCACTGTATTCATGTTAACTAAGCCAGTTCAGTAAGAAACGGTTATTCTTGGGCGTGAAGTCGGCCAGCCTCCATTTGGAGAAAACGCTCTGAACCAGCCCCCTGTGGTTTCCTAAGCACACTTCTCTACAGTCTTATTGTATTTAGACCCCAGACATGTAAAACCGTGATGCATTACAGCCCTGTACCAACAGTTTTAGCAACTGCAAATCGGAAGATTAATAAATCTGCTGGAATGGCTGCTGGTAACAGTTCACATTTATTTGTATAGCGCTTTTCATAATACATATCATTTTAAAGCAGAAAAATGCATGACTGGTATATACTGTACAATTTGTCCTTGTGCCCTTTTTCTTAAAGCGAAAAGACTTTTTTTTCTTTGTTTTAACTGACGTTCCCTCAGTAACCAGCGTACTAACTAGCACCTCAATGCAAAACTTGCTTCAAATGTCCAAAGTGCCAAATCACATGAGGTGCACAAAAAATCACTTTATTTGTACGGGTTTACAACAGGGTGAGAGGTTTGTACAAAAAAAAAAAAGTGATTTATTTGGTCTTAAACTGACATTATTTTTACCTACTGAGATTTTGGGAGGATTTATTTTTCACTCTCTCCCTATTTGCACTTTTGGTAGGAAAAAGTCGGGGTTGTGCTAAAGTAGAAAAACTGCCGAAGCAATGCAAGAAACCTCAGTGCTACTCAACAGTCAGAGTATGTGCTTAATAGATGTTAAATGGCTGAATTTGAATTTGCCCTAAAAGTTACGTTCATTGTAGCAACAAAGGAAAATCAGGATGGTGTTCCAGTGTTATAGGCTTATTTTGTAAACATGCTCCATCCATACCATGATGTTAAATGTGCGTTCATTGCTGTATACGAGTAAACATTGTCCCTTTGTTCAGATATTGTTCATCTAAATACAGATAATCAACATCTTGATTTTGTTAAGGCCCTAGTAATAGTGAAGGTTCAAATTTAGTTTCAGTCATTTTCGTACCGTTTGTAACTACTGATTTTGCAAAGAATGACCCAAAGCTGTGTGAAACTGTAAACTACTGTAATGCTTTCTAAAACAGTGAATTGGTTGTCCACCAGTCACCTCAGTTATGTTGTTTGTCATTGTCTTGTTAGTTTCTAGTGGTCATTAAAAAATGAGTGAATGTGGCCCTTAGTGAACATGCAAACCGAAAGATATTGCAGAATTAACTTTTCCATTGTAATTCCTACTGACTGGTTGTGATGTTGCATAACCTGACAGTGTACAGGAAAACTAAGGATGTTAATGGAATGTTATGGAGAAGTTTGTGGAGAGATAAAGGAAAGGTAATACCTAATATATGTATTTTACCAATATACACTATAAAACAAGTTTTAGAGAATTGTCCTGAGGGGAAAAAGTCTCCTTTTATTTCTGTAATAATCATGAATTGGGATGTGATACCCAGTATTTGATTTGTTTGATGAAATGAGTGCTCTAAGTTGTACCAAGCAAAACGATTTTTCCTTTAAATAGAGGACTTGACATGCAAAATTAATTCCAGTACCATGATGACAGACACAAAACAAATAAAACATATTTTCCTTCTCGGTATTCATCTCAGTGTTTTTTGGTTTTCTTATAGGTAATTGGTTATCTATCTATCTATCTATCTATCTATCTATCTTGTCTGATCTGTCTATTTATTTGTCTCAAAAGCTCAATAAAATAGGTTTTATTGAGCTTTTTCAATAGATAGATTCTATCTATCTATCTATCTATCTATCTATCTATCTATCTATCTATCTATCTATCTATCTATCTATCTATCTATCTATCTATCTATCTATCTATCTATCTATCTATCTATCTATCTATCTATCTATCTATCTATCTATCTATCTATCTATCTATCGTTCCTCAAATTAGAAACAGACAAATGTGGGCGTCACTTGTGTCCTGCAGTCAGTGGGCGTGTTTTGTGCACAGTGGGTGGGCATGTCTAGTTAATTTTAATTTCATCTACACCCTTTTACTGTCTGTGTCTACACCCCGCTTTCCAACAAAATGGCTGTGGTGTAACGCAAGATTATGGAAAACCACGGAGTTATGTGAATTATATCGAATAATTTGGAACTTATTGCTGGGAGATGTAAGTTAATTTACTATTTGGACTTCTGAAACAAACGGATGTGCTTTTTTTTAAAACGTGAGCTCTTGTCAACTATTTTGTCGTTTCCACGCGAGTCAAAGAAAGTTTATATTCTTTTTAAATGCTACGTAGTAGCTTTGTAACATTGTTACAAGAGAGAACAGTGGATGTATACAGTTCAGCTACAGCTGTCAGTACACGTGCTCTTCACTCCAGTGTTGGTTGTAGTGTATGTTTGTTTGTAAGCACTCGTGCTTGAATACTAGTCGTCATTTTAATTTCCAATGTTGCTGTCAGTTTCAGAAAAGTATGATAGTGATACTCATTACACCTTAACACAGTGGGCAAACGTTTGAGTTGCTTCAAAGGTTGTTTTTCACGGTGCTCGTGTAAACTTGTTTACCACTGTACCGTTGTGCCACACTATGGAAACGGATCCAGTGATTCCCAAACCAGGAGAGTGAGTAACTAAACCCCCAAGGAACTCCAGGGGTGTTTTTCTTTCTTAAACCATGACTATATGAGTATATGTATGTATTAAACAAACATAATTCTATAATTTTGCTTTTTCTCCTTAAAATCAATTGGGGAAAATAAGTAGCCTAATCTATTTAAATGTTGAATTCTAATGAATATTTAGTTATTGTGTTCAGTTTTGACTATGTTGTTGTGAAAAATAGTCACTCATATTGCGAAGAAAACTATTAAAAAGTGACTCATATTATAGGCCATGTCTAAAAATGCTACTGCACCCTTAGTTTCAAATGGTCACCCATCATCTCTGTCTCTCTCTAATGGGTTGTTGACTTTATGGCTAGAGATCATGTCTATTATAAGAACTCCGTTTATCTATTTAGAGATTGCCATAGTGCTGTTTTCTCCCCTGATGTGAAACCCATATGTACTCCCAGTCCATTGACCTTTAACAAACATTTATATTGAACTATTTTATTTATTTGTTTATTTATTTTATATATAAAAAAAGGTACAAAAGCTGTCACGAGGGCTTTTGTACACAAAGGCTGCCTATTGGTACATTAGTGGTATTAGCACCTAAAATGAACATATTAGCACCTAAAATGAACATATTAGCACCTGAAATGTACATATTAACACCTAAAATGTGCATATTAGTACCTAAAATGTACATTTTAACACTTAAAATGTACATACAGTATTAACACCTAAAATGTACATATTAGCACAAAAAAATGTACATTTTAACGCCCTAAATGTACAAACTAGCACTTGAAATGTACATATTAGCACATAAAATGTACATATTAGTACCTAAAATGGACAAAGGTTTACCTTTTGAAAAGGTACAGCCCCAGTGATAGCTTTTATACCTTTTTTCTGAGAGTGTACACTGAAATTTATGTTACACTGAAATTGAAAAAATGCTATTCTTTTATCAATCCTGAGCGCTAACACCCACCCTTGAGCAAAGGCGTGTCTCGTTAATATTAAATAAATGTGAGCTGGACCCTTCAGGAGGTTTATAACATCAGACTTCCTTAATATTCATGAGTTGAGCTTGACTAGTAGGATTCACTGCACGTGTATGCATTGGGCGTCTCTCTAAAGAGAGGTGGAGCATAACACTTCCTCATGCATTATTCATGAGTGCCTGGAGTGACAAGCAGAGCCCTGGTCGGCTTGTTAGTACACAGTCTGAGTGACAGCGTGAGTGGAGTATCAACAGCACAAGGAGAGACAGGCTTTTAAACTCATCTCACTAGGACTTAGGCTCAAGGTGAGTTTGCATATTTGCAGCCTTCTGAGTGTGAAGAAAAAAGTTAAATGAAAGCATTGTATTTGGGTTGTCTGTTAGGAATGGGTTATCTTCACTCGTCTTTGTGTGCTGGGGAGAGGGGTGAACATTGCCCTGTCAATATTTGGCTGAGGGGCTCTCCGTGATTGGCTCTCCTCATTGTGTGATGTCTCAGGAGGACAGCTGGGATGCTTTCAAGGGTGTGTCAGCAGTTCAGAGAGGAACAAAGGCTGATGGAAAAGGATTCTTTTCATTACCGTATCTGTCAGCTTTTGATATTTAAGTTTGTCGATAGGACTTGTATCTTCTGTAACTAAGTGGATTTTGGGCACTGAGGCCCCACTGGGTGTTTTTAACCTATTATGCTTGTTGGCATGTTGTCAGCTGGAAGTGGCTTATGGTGTTTCATCTTTGATGGGTTGTACTGCTGAGTTGGCCAAATGACCCTGGAAAAAAGTACACGCTTTTGGCCTTATTTTTGTTTGAACGCTTTATTATAGTGATTTATGCTCATGTTATAGTAAAACTTAACATTTAGATCTGTCTAAATTACTGCCTCTGAAAGTGTTTGGACACAAACGTTTAAAATATATGAATGTCTTTGCTATATATAGCAACATCAAACATTTTGTTTGAAAAAAAGGATTTGAAATGAAGACAATGAAGTGTATGGATGCTGTTTTGTTGTGTGTGTACTTTGTGAAGCTGATATCATACATTGTCTATTTTTTATTTTTTTTTGGACACCAGTTGAATGTAAATAATTGCAAAATCCATACAGTTTTAAGTGTGACTTAGATGTTCAAAAAGAGAGTGTAAGATGCTCTCCTATCATACATTTTTCTTCTCGACCATAAATATCACTAAATCTCAATGCATTTATTGAATGGTTATGCTTTTATAATTGTTCTGGTTACTTGAAAAATGTTTCTTTTTATTTGCATATCATATGAAATAATTCAATAATCAATAATATGTTTTGAGGTTAAATTTAACCTTCGAATGGTCTTCGTTTCCTGTTTACACTTCTGGGCTTCGGGGTCTATACGACCACAACAATTGATTGAGTAATTGTACAAAAAATATACATTTTTAATCATACAAATAATATATATATTTTTTGTTTACTTCTCATCTATTCATTAATGCTGTGTTTTTGGAGATATAAAGTACTTTTGTATCCATATACCACACAATTCCTCAACTACACCATTAGCTTGCATATAATTTTTTTTTTTTTTTATGATATATTGCATTTATGCTAGTACTAGGCCTTTGTTTCTTTGTAAAAATTTTCAGATTTATGCTGGATTTTTTTTTTTTTTTGACACATGAAGAAAACATATTTAGTTTTTTTTTACATACCTTCAGAACAACCGAATCAAGCCCAGTTTTTTGTGTGTGTATAGATAAATAATGTATGAAAAGTCACAAAATCTTATTCCACTGAGATGAAGGGAACCTTTTTTTTATTAAGTAAAAGTCGATTGGGGTCGTATAGACCCCATGACCCGATTGAGGGCTACATCAAATAGATTTTTTGTTCGATTATAAACTTTTTTTTATTTTTATCATCGATTTGTTAATGAAGGATTTTGTGTATACCGTCCTTCATTTACATTTTTATGATAAAATGTTTTGGTTTTAAAGTGAAATGTTAAAAGTTAGATTATTGGGGTTAGACGACTCCCAGAAAATTGGTTTGTATGGTTGTTTTTATTTTATGTAATAATCATTGTAAACCATAAATGATTAAATTCAATTATGTATATGCTAACTAAAAAAATCTAATAATTTAATTATTATATAGTGTAATTCAGATACAAATTCATCTAGTAATTCATATCTTTGACTCAATTTCAGTTATTCAAGTAAATTTTCAAAATGCATAAATATGAGAATAAATATTGGAAAACGGAGAATATTTTATTTATTACTTTACAATAATGGCATCATCCCCCATCTTACCCTACTTTTAAAATCCACTGTTTAAACAAGCTTGCATCATTTCATATGTGACTCCCCCCCCCCCCCCTCCTTCCACACAGTGAAGGTTGATGAGTGATATAGAGCACAAATTCTTCCATAGACGTGTGCTTGTTGTGTTTTAATGAATGGACATGGAATACAGTGTGCATTTCTGAGGCCAAAGTAAAGCCTTGTTAATTTTCTCAAACTTTGTTTTCCCCCATTCCAAGGACCATTAAGAGGCTTGAACTACTTCCTTCATTCTTCAGAATAACAACTTAGTATAAGCTTGTGTGTGTGTAGGCAGTAGTGCGGTGGAAATAAGCCCAACGGATATTGGTATGGTCCCTGTTTATTGCTCAGACAGCATTAACTTCACATCATTCAGGCTTTATCCTAAACGATATTGATAAGATAGTCGCCCACTGTCTGTTCAGTTAACATGCGGTTCATCATTAACTCGATTGGTTTGTGCAATCCAGCAAGACTGGGCTTGTTACTGTGTTTCTTGTTGTTCCACTTCTGCTCTTCTTCAGGAGGAGAAGCCTGTCTTTTATAATGGCTGAACAGAGGAGAGTTTCCTTTAATGATGTATCTCTCCTGCTCTTTTCCACTTTCTCCAGTGGTGTTCTCAGTCCAGCCATGGATGTGAGCAACTCTCTGAAGATGAGTTCCCTGACCATTCAGAGTCTGTTTAGCTACGTGGAGGAGGAGAACCTCTCGGCCATCAAAGCTCATCTGGACAAGTACAGAGAGGTGGACACCAGAAGTGAAGTGAGTGTGCAGGAACCCTTGAATATCACTTCTTACTTTTTGTAACTTAGCTTGGTGTTCGTTAAATATACATGAACATATATTTGTTTTCGCCATAGTGCTGAACTCATTACTTCGGAGTCATTACTTTATTACTGTACCACTCACTTATTTGCTCATACACCATATACTGTAATGTTGTAAATGGCCCATATTTAAGAAAATTATTTTGAGGGGAAAAATGTAACTTTTCTGCTTATATTTGCTGTTGATTAAAAATTCAGAAAAATAATAATTGTATTTTACAGCATAACGTACAAACCACATAAGGATACTTATTTTTTGTTGTTTAGACTACAAGCAATAGACTTGAATAAAATGTGAAACTGAACTCTACACGGACAGTTCTGTTTAATGGGTTCTGTAACACCAGTATCATGCATTGCTGTGTGTAATGTTTAAATGTTATGGTTAAACTGTGGAAATCGTGCATTTACTGTAAACATGTTTCTTGTTCATTTCTGCACACTGAGGAATGAATTGAAACTATTGTCCTTGATCCCTGACATCATGCCAAACATGTGATGCATAAACATTAGGATGAACCTTACTCTGAATATTTCTTTAAAATTTGCTTGCCCTGATATAAGTCATTGTCTTCTGCTGTAGAACGGCCAGACTGCTCTCATGGTGGCGTCAGAGCAGGGCAGTCTAGAGATCGTGCAGGAACTCATCCAGAGGGGAGCAAACGTAAATTTGGATGATATCGTGAGTAGTTCTTCACATTTGAACACAAAACACACACAGCAGAGAGATACAACATTAAATATCATATAGGCAAAACATAAACTTGCACTTGTTTTTGGAACAGAATGGCACGATTTCATCAAGCAAAGATTGTCAGTCACACCTGACTGCACTCTTTTGCAAACAAGTCAATGAGTCAGTAGTTATGCTTCCATACAAAGTTGCGAATTTAACTTCTGCACAAAAGTGGAATATCGCATAAAACATTTGCAAACAAACCAGCGTTTCCACCCCATGTGTTCAAGAAAACGTAATAGGCACTTCCTGGGAAATTGGCACAAAATATCTGTAATAAAAAGGGAAGTTGCTGCAATCGGGGAAGATACTGTGGCTCTTTTATCTGACCTCATAAATGACCTGTGCATCCGAGCAATCAGACGAAAACCAATAAACGCTGTCATGTTATCTTGCCTGATGTTTGTGAAGGCATTCATGTGAGACAGTTGTGGGAGGTCATTATAACAAATCATTTTGATGACAGACTTCGGCTCAGGCATTTCAGAACAACCAAAACAACATTTGAGAAGCTGTGCATTGGTCCGCTGGTTAGTACAGTTATCCAATCACATTTACTGTTGAGATGGTCACGTGAGTTTAAAAAAAAAAAAAAAGGTTATCAGGTTATCGCATGTCCTCTTATTGTATAAAAAAAATTATCAGACTTTTTAAAGTTTTCCTAATTTTAGAATTCATGCACATTTTAGCATTTCCATCACACGTTTATTTTTTAAGAAATACGATATCCCCAAATTTCTACAAACGTATGTGGATGGAAACATGGCTAATGTCTGTCTACAGTTCTTTAACCAGATGTATGATTTCATAGGTGTGGGTGGGCCGTAGAATCTAAATAATTGGTACCCTGCACTGTCATTTTGTAAATGACTAGATGACGACGTTCACAGGCACAAACACTTTGAGCTTCTCACACCAGCATATACACAGTGTAGGATATAACCTTTCAGGTGACAGTGGAAGAATCTTTACTATGACCACCTGGTATGACCAGCTGGTATGATCTGAAACGCTACAGACATCTTCTAAACTCAAGACTTTAGATGTCCATGTAATTAAATGCAGAGTTTTTTTCCACTTGTCTTAGGATTGCTGGACCGCACTGATTTCAGCTGCTAAAGAGGGACACACTGGAGTGGTGAAGGAACTCCTGGAGAACAATGCCAATGTGGAGCATCGAGACATGGTAAGACTGAGAATAAAAACATGGGAAGCCTTAAAGAAGGTAATTATACTTAAATCAACAGTTGGTCTTATTGTGAATGATGTCTTTCTTCAACTTCTTGAATTTTTTTAGCTTAGTTTTGCTGTATATTTTTTTGTCAAAATTAAAGTTGTCAATCAATTTTAAATGTATTAATTTTACTATTTCTGGTAGCTCTTTACAATAAGATTTCTTTTGTAACTGTTAGTGAACTGAACTGCACTAGGTAACATGAGCTACAGTAACAACTAACTTGTTGGTGTTAATTTTTACATTTACTTATACATTTTAAAATTAAAAGTTTTATGTTAATATTAGGTAATGCACTGAACTAGCATGACTAAACGATGAGCAATTGTATTTTTATAAACTAACATTTTTAAATGCTCTAATAATATATTGCTTATAAATATTTTAACTGTTTACAAATAAGACCTTACTGAAAAGTGTTACCTTATATTTCAAATTAATTAATCAGGAAATGATTTATATAAAATGCCAATTTAATTACTTGTATACAAATAAAAAATAAATGATTTTTAAAAATTAATTGTGAATTGATTACATTTGAATCCGATTAGATTAATTCAATTATTAAATATTGTTTATTAAGTGTCTTAAAACGAACACATTTTATTAATCAAATTAAACTTTTTGTGGATTATATATTATTTATTAATTTGTAGATTTTTCATCTCTCAATCTTTTTAATAATTATTTACACTAAATTAACGTTCAAAGCTGTAATCCTAAAACTGTGTATCCTCCACTGTCCTATCTGGATTAATTGAATTCCTACCTTACAGAAACATGTGATGCTCTGTATTTAAGATTAGCAGTTATGTGTGTAGTTCCTTTATATAGATTTTGGGGCATCATAGGCACATTTTGAATGTGTCTGATGCCTATAAATGCTGCCTGGGAAAGCAGCTAAAGCTTATAATAACAAATAAGGAAGATAAGAGACAGCCGGTAGTTTGAGTCACTCCCTGACTCAGGGAAAATGTGTTTGTCCACATAGCCCTGTGACTATGAGATTATTATTAAGGACGATCATGTGGGAATATAATGACCTTGGTATGTTTGTGTAGGGGGGCTGGAGTGCGCTCATGTGGGCCGCTTATAAGGGACGTGTGGAGGTGGCGCAGCTACTGCTGGAGAAGGGAGCAAATCCAAACATCACCGGACAGGTCCGAACAGCCTTTTCCAGTAACAACTCTTTCAAACAATTATTGTACATTTAGAAATGCTCAGAGATAATGTCTGAGGTGTGGGTGAAAATGTGGCCCTATATGAGACTTCATCTCTAGGTTTGAGTGTTTTCTGCGGTGTGTAATTGATTTTGGTCTGTCCCAGTAGTACAGTGTTTACCCCATCATATGGGCGGCAGGAAGAGGCCATGCGGAGATTGTTCAGCTGCTGCTTCAGCATGGAGCCAAAGTCAACTGCTCTGACAAGGTGCTTTATCACTCCCATCTCTTGAAACGCTGACTTGAGCTTTCACGAGATTCATAAACACTGATAGTGAACGAAAAAGCCAAGTCAACTGTTTCCACATGAAACCGAGAAATGATATACACTACCGTTCAAAAGTTTGAGATTGGTTTCCACAAGAAGCAGCACAACTTTTTTTCAACATTGATTTTAATAAGAAATCAGCATATTAGAACGATTTCTGAAGGATCATGTGATTGGAGTAATGATTCTAAAAATTCAGCTTTGCCGTCACAGGAATAAATTATATTTTAAAATATATATAAAAAAGAAAATTCTTATTTTAATTGTAAAAATATTTCACAAATTACTGTTTTACTGTTTTTTTTTTAATCAAATAAATGCATTATTGGTGAGCATAAGAGACTTCTTTCAAACACATCAAATCATTTCTACCAAATTAAATAAATAAACAATAAGGCACAATTTTGCAAAGTATTTACACTATTTTTAAATTATAGATGGATGTTTAATTGCAAAAAAAAAAGATCCTCACACTGTTTTGCACTTGTTAAATATTGAATAGAAAAAGAATACAGTAAGTAGATAGAAGTGATAGAATTGAACTGCAAATTTTACTAAAATTACTGCATCTCATGATAAAAATGTTTGTTTTTTTAATGACAGAAGCAACATTAATAAAGTAAAATGCCCCACTATTTAATAATTGCATTTATGAGTTATTCTAATTTCAACCAATTATTAGGCCAAGTAATATTTTTAATTTGCTTATCTGTAATTCGAATTCTGTGAACGATTAATCACCACATTAATAATTCATAGAATTCAAGTTAAATCTTTAAATCATTAAAGCTTGTTAATCAGATCTGTTAAGTCACTTCATTATGGTTTTTCGTTGTCATTGTCAGTACGGCACTACACCCCTGATCTGGGCTGCCAGAAAAGGCCATTATGACTGCGTGATGCACCTGCTGGAGAACGGCGCCAATGTGGACCAGGAAGGAGCGGTATGCACTTTGTGTTTTGAAGTGAAATTCAAGGTTGTTGTATAGTAACAGACGCAGAGGAGTGAGATACGTGGCTCAATTAATCTAGGAAACTTTGTCCACATTGTGCTTGTTAGCTTCAGTTTTGACATTTTTCAGGTACACCAAATATGCTGATGTAATAAAGTCACTGAAATGTGCATCATGTTAATATCCCATCTCAATCTCTCTCCTGTAGAACTCGATGACTGCACTGATAGTGGCTGTGCATGGTGGATTCACTGAGGTGGTGAAGGAGCTGCTTAAGAGAAACCCCAACATGAATATGACTGATAAAGATGGCAACACGGCACTGATGATCTCTGCTATAGAGGGATACACTGAGATTGTCCAAGATCTATTGGACGCGGGCACATATGTCAACATCCCTGACCGGGTAGAGCTTCTCATTTAACCTTGAGTGTTAGTATTTCAGGCATCTTGAAATTCCCATTCGTCTTGTGCTTGTTTATGTCTCAGAGTGGTGATACTGTGCTTATCGGAGCCGTCAGAGGAGGTCATGTGGAGATCGTGCGAGCTTTGCTTAATAAATATGCTGATATTGATGTCAAAGGCCAGGTAACTGCATCTCTCTCACACCACCTCTTCAATATTTCAATCCTCTGCGTCCATCAGCACACAGTCCTAAACTCTAATCTATACAGAACAGCCTCTTTGTTGTAATGCCCTTTTCACCTCATATTAGAAACGTATTATTATTCCACGTGATTAAGGAAGTAGCTATCATGATGACTCAGGTCATATGATTCTTTTTGGCTCTTTATTATAGGATGGGAAGACTGCCCTGTACTGGGCTGTCGAGAAAGGTAACGCAACCATGGTACGAGACATTCTGCAATGCAACCCTGATACTGAGGCCTACACTAAGGTAAAGAACATGATTCTTATTGGATTGTGTTGTAATCCCATATGGAAAATTAAGAATATGGCAATTAACAATTGTTTATTGTAATGAGAGACCATTCTATTTACATTAATGTGTCAGGATGCAGAGACTCCCCTCATAAAAGCCACCAAGATGAGAAACATGGAAATTGTGGAGCTTCTTTTGGACAAAGGAGCCAAAGTGTCAGCAGTGGACAAGGTAAGTGTGTGTGTATAAGGTTATCAACTGCTCGTTAACTCCAATATCTAATGCAGCAAATTTAGACATGTAGACGTGGTCAAGACGATCTGCTAAATTTCGTACCGAGTGTCAGAATGGGGAAGAAACGTGATTTTAAGTGACTCAGACCAGCCCAACCAACAACCATTCCACGTTCAGAAAAGTTTTTCAGAAACTGCTTGACTTACGGGAATTTCCATGCACAACTATCTCTAGGGTTTACAGAGAATGGTCTGAAAAAGACAGAGAATGATCTCGATTTCTGCTGCGCCATTCAAATGAGTCAGGATTTTGTTTAAACAACTTGAAATCATGGACTTATCCTGCATTGTATCAACGGTTCAGGCAGCTGATGGTGTAATGGTGTGCATATGTATGTATGTGTGTGTAATTTATTCCTGTGATGCCAACGGCCATTATTCAGTGTCACATGATCCTTCAGAAATCATTCTATGCTGTTTAACCAATCATCTTCTTTTTCATGTTAAAAACCAGTTGTTGTTTTATGATTATTTTTTTAATCGAAAGTAAAAAAAGTCTTCACTGTGACTTCTGATTAATCAATCTTTGCTGAATAAAAGTATTAATTTCCTTTAAAAATAAATAGATAATTCTGTAAATTTCTGCACAATGTTATCATCTCAGAAAGGTGACACAGCCCTGCATATTGCCATTCGTGGAAGAAGTCGTAAACTCGCCGAGGTGCTCTTGAGGAACCCCAAAGATGGTCGTCTGCTCTACCGGCCCAACAAAGAGGGAGAGACGCCTTACAACATAGACTGCACGCACCAGAAGAGCATCCTCACCCAGATATTTGGAGCCAGTGAGTACACCTCAAACAAAACTGATTTGCACACTAATATGTCTGTCTACAACAGCTCTGATGTATTCCTCCCCAGAGCACCTGTCTCCTTCTGAGTGTGACGGGGACATGCTGGGCTATGACCTGTACAGCAGCGCGCTGGCGGACATCCTGAGTGAGCCCACCATGCAGCCGCCCATCTGTGTGGGGCTTTACGCTCAGTGGGGCAGTGGCAAGTCCTTCCTGCTTAAGAAACTGGAGGGTATGAGCCAGAAATGTATATTCAAGATCTGGAAGGCCTTGTTGTATTTTTACTGAGTCTGTCGTCACTGTATCAGATGAGATGAAGACGTTTGCCGGGCAGCAGGTGGAGCCGTTGTTCCAGTTCTCGTGGTTGGTGGTGGTTTTGACTCTGCTGCTTTGTGGATCTGTGGCTCTGGTCCTCGGCTTCGCTGTTGACACAAAGCTGGCCATCGCTGTGGCCCTCAGCCTGCTCACTCTAGTGTACATCTTCTTTGGTGAGAAATCGTCAAATTTACTGGCTGAGTGTAAAAAAGGAGAATAATTCCTATGGGCCTATTCCTATAGTGCTACATATTACAGAGAAGGACAGTTTGCCTTTTCAGGTCCATCACATCCTGTTGATGGCCCGACACATCTGTGTTGTGTAAATAAATGGCCCAAATGCAAAGTTTTCCGTTTTTAGTTGATAACGGTGTCCCTTAGACTTTATAGTAAACAAATTCAAAGTACTAAGCCAGAATAAAACGATAAATAAACTACACATAAAAAGACAATAAATACAGTAAGAAATACATGCAATAAATGTATTAACAATAATACATTATTGTTATGGTAATAATAACTTATTCCTATTATTATATCTATAATAATATAATCATTAATTATGTGGATATATACATATTGATTCATCATTAATTATAGTTTAATAAATAGTTTAATAATACGAATTATGACTATTATTAGATATATTCTTGCTAATATTAAATTATTATTGTTATTACTATTTTTTTATTGTTATTAAAAAACTAACAATTATTAAAAAAAAATGGAAGTGTATAAATGAGTGTCTATAAAGTTATTGTAGTGCAGCAGAGATTGTGCTAAGGTAGAGACATAGGAAAGTATAGTCAGGGATTTAAGCAGAAAGATCATTTAATTTAGTTATTGAGTGTCTGACTAAATGGTTGCACTTGACAAATTTGGTTTTGTTTGACTTGAATTACTTAAGTTTTCTTGTCAACTCTACCTTTACATAGATTGTGGTTGAAATTGGACTTGTATATCTCCTCCCTGGGGTTTATTTACCCAACAATTCCCTAATGATAAAAATAACACTTACTGTATATTCATTTTTGGTGATTTTGTAAGTATTTTGTAATGTATATTTATTTTATACCCTTGCTTATGATTATTCATCTCATTATCGTTTTTACCGTACATGTACAATGGATGCAATGAAGTTTAATATTCAGATTAGAACTCAAATGGTAGAGGCTTTTGTTGAATTTTATTTACTACTACATTCTGACCCGTTTATTCCTTAATATGAGGGTTCATCCTTGGTTACCAAAAGGCACTAAACTGTACTTATAAATGTGTCCACTAGAATGCAGCAGTGTACTTCTGAATCTCATGTGGATTGTGAGTGGAATTGCAAGTTCTGCATTTTATCCTGTTTTACATTCTCACAAACTTCATCATCTCGGTCTCCTGTGCTTGTGCAGTGTTGGTGTACTTTGGTGGGAGAAAAGGAGGGGAGAGTTGGAGTTGGGCCTGGGTCCTCAGCACCAGACTGGCCCGCCACATCGGCTACTTGGAGCTGCTTCTCAAACTCATGTTCGTTAATTCCCCCGAGCTTCCGGAACAGACCACCAAAGCCCTGCCTGTCAGGTAGAGCTTTCCGAATAGTGCAGCCATGACCAAACGCATCCATCCACTTCAACAGCACACAACTACCTTAAGGGGTGTTTTTTCTTCTTTTCTTTTCAAAGTTAGGTTTGCTGTGTTTAAGGATGTCATTTACTTTGCCGAATCATTTTTGTGTAAGATAAAGAAATGTTGTGAATGTTCTCTTGACGACATTATATTACCTGCACATTCTGTTGAAACACGCACATGTTTGATGCTCATTTTCAGTGAGTCTTTTTTTGTTCTCCATCTGTCCAGGTTTCTGTTCACAGACTATAACCGTCTGTCGAGTGTGGGAGGGGAGACGTCCATGGCGGAAATGATAGCCACGCTGTCCGATGCCTGTGAGAGAGAGTTTGGCTTCTTGGCCAGCAGACTTTTTAGGGTCTTCAAACATGACGAAACTCAAGGTGTGTCTGTTGGATATATTTAGGATGAATCTTGATAGTAGAGACGGGGGGAAAAAAAGCAAAGCATTATGTGTGTTTTTTAAATTAGTATTAATATCCTTTTTAACTTATTTTACACAAAACACGCAAGGATCTCTGTAACTGTGAAATTTACCATAGTAAAGGGTCTTATCAGTGTTTTATTTATATTAAATCAGTGTTATTTTAGTATTTTTTATATACTCTTAATATTATTTTTACAAAATATTTTTAATAGTTAAAATTAATTTTGTTATGTGCTTTTGTCATTTTTTTATTATTATTTTTGTTAATATTTCGATGTAGCTTTATTTTTTTTTATTTCAGGTTTGGTTTAAGTAAATTGTTGCATTGGGAACTAACTGAAAAAAATTCAAAGTTTAAATTTTTCAGCTAATATTTTATTTCTTCTTTATTTCAAATAAGGACAATTATTTTTCATACTTTTAGTTTAGTAACAATACAGTCTTAACATAATTGTGGTAAAATATTTTATTTCGTTCATAATTATTTGTATTTATTTTTTACTTGTACCCATAGTGAAATCTCATTGATCCAAAGTCATGCTCTACACACTGTAGCTCTACATATTAAACATAAAGAATGGTTTGGCTTCAAACATGGCTAATCTTATCAAATTTTATACTGTTTTGTCAATATTTTACTTTATACTTATACTTTTTTTTCCACAGGAAAGAAGTGGAAGAAGACCTGTTGCGTCCCCTCCTTTGTGCTTTTTGTGTTGACGTCAGGCTGTCTGATCACAGGCATGACCCTACTAGCCATCTTCAAGGTGGATGGAGAGAACCTCACAGTGAACGCGGTTCTGATCGCCATGGCCAGTGTGGTGGGTCTGGCCGTGCTTCTGAACTGTCGAACCTGGTGGCAGGTGGCGGACTCTGTGCTGCACTCTCAGAGGAGGAGGCTACTCAACGCTGCCAACAGCATGCACAAACTCAAGAGTGAGGGATTCATGAAGGTGAGCCAATGATACTAATATAATATGTAATGTGCTTGTGTAGTCATCACTATTGCATTTGTTTTAATTTAGCTGATAATGTCTTATCCAAAGTGATTTACGCTGTGGCCTAACTAGACATGACTTGAGACTGAGATAAATCCTCACTCTTCCACAGTAAAATCTCATAATTAAATTATTTTTTATTTAAAAAATTTATTTTACAGCATTTGTGGATTAAAAAATGTATTTGTCATATTTTGTAACCTTTGTAACCACTTGGTTCAAACATTCAGATTGAAGACTTCCATTTTACTGCTTGTTGTTCTGTGAAGCTGATTTGTTTCCTTTCTTTCTCTCAGGTTTTGAAGTGTGAAGTGGAACTCATGGCTAAAATGGCTAAAACCATTGACGGCTTCACTCAGAATCAAACCCGACTGGCTGTCATCATCGACGGCCTGGATTCCTGTGAGCAGGACAAAGTACTACAGATGCTTGATACGGTGAGTTTATGTTTAAGCCTAGTGAAAAACCTCCTTGAACATCTCGCATATAACCGAATAACAGTGTATAAATCTTATTTGCTGTCAGGATTGCATTTGCCTGTGTATTCAACTAATGCCAAGAAGCTGTTGATGGCACAAGCCATTTATCTCCACTGTACTGTACATATAAAAGACTCATTTAGTCTGAGCACATTCACTTCTAGCTCTTGACTAAATGGACAAACAAGATGCCTCATGTCCTCTCTGTGGGAAGAACAAGCTCATTCACCTCTCGAACATCTCATAGATGTGCAGCAGTGCTTAAAGTTCAGGCTTGTTTAGCTCCAGAAGTTCAGATTCCTCTCTCCCAGCTGGACTAATGGAATTTCCTTCAGCTAAATGTCATTATTTGGGTATAATCCTCTTGTGTTGGCAGCCTGTTCACGTCTAATGAAATCTGCCGTTTACCAGAGAGCCTGCAAACTAAGAGCCTCAAAGATTCCTTTGTGGCGCAATTAGTCACATCTCTTTTAAATTCTGATCTTTTTGTCTCTGATTTGAATAAGAATGACCAAATTGGATTTTTCCTTCAAGCTTAATATTGTTCCAATTGTTTCCATAGGAAAAATTGCAGATATGAATGCAGATGCCATATTTTGGGTCACAAATAAGTTGGCTTGGAGAACCGCCATGTCAGCAGAAATTTTGCAGCAATCGCTAAATGATGCGTGCCGTTCTTTTACTTTTACGGTCCACAAATCAGTATCCTGTGACACTTATACACGTTACAGTGTTCTTCATTAGTCTGGAAAGTCCCATCACATTCAAATTAGTACATGTCTGGCCTGGGTGTGTGTAAACGTATACAAGGTGGCTTGTGTATGAGCACACACATGATCCACAGAATATATTTGGAACTAAAGGTCTGTGTAACATAGCTAATCGAATAGAATTACAACTAAATAACTTCTTTCATTCTGTAGTGGTCTGACAGTGGAAGAGGGAAAAATATGATAATTGTTTTGTATTGCACATATCCAGTATATTCAGGTGTCAGTCTTTGATCAGTGTTTTGATCAATCTTACTATTAATTGCAAACATTTTTTTCTTAGGAAGCGCACCCATATAGCATTAGAATAACAAAAACCCCTTTAAAACAAACATACCGTTTAGCATGTGTTTAACCGCTGCAGCTTAGACCAGATTTTTCACTACTAATAAAGAGGCAACTTTCTCTTGACTCTTCTGTTTGCAGGTTCGAGTGCTCTTTTCGAAAGGCCCCTTCATCTCCATCTTTGCCAGTGACCCTCATATCATCATCAAGGCCATAAACCAGAACCTCAACAGTGTGCTACGTGACTCCAACATCAATGGCCATGACTACATGCGAAACATCATCCACCTGCCTGTGTTCCTCAACAGTCGTGGCCTCAGCACCGCCAAGACACTCTGCATTTCCACACCAGCCAACGCAGATCAACTTAACCCTGATGGTCGGTATAGCAACATGACATCATGACTTTTGCGTAAACATACACGCCACTTTCAAGTCAAGTGGCGTGATATCTATACACATTTTGAGCTATCCGCATGTACACGCCGTTAAATATCTGAGTGAAACGAAGCAAAATGTAGATCTACATCTGGGGAGCAATATTTTTTTTCCTAGGATTGTCGGGGAAGACTCATAAATCGTATTAACCCCAGTGACGGGTACGTTTAGGGACGGGGTTGGGGTAGGTCATATATTTATATATACAGTAGGGCTGGGCAACGATTAATCGCGATTAATTGCATCCAAAAAACCACCCAAAATACACACACATGCATGTATAGATTTAAGAAATATTTGCATGTATATACTTTATATATATTTATACATAATTAATATTATATAAATATTTGATACATTAATAACTAATTTTTCTTAAATGTATACATGCATGTGTGCGTATTTATATACAAATTAATTATACACACACACATATATTATGTAAACACAAACTTTTATTTTGGATGCAATTAATCGCGAGTAATCGTTGCCCAGCCCTACGTTAATGTAACGTTAAGTCAACGGCATTCATAAACGCGCTGAAAAGCAATTATTCATGTTGATAGCACGCCAAAAATGGAAATACGAATTGGCGTGTCATACATACGCCATTTCATGAGATCAGTCTGGGTATAGAGATGTTTCCAAAGGCTGAGTTCCAGTGTGCATTTTTATTTATCATTCCATACATTTTGTATTTCATTTCATACATATACAAAAATGCATTTTAAGAGATAGCCCTCAAAAACCACAAATCCTGTCATCATTTACTCTTCCTCATTTTGTTCCAAACCTATATTGAGTTCCTTTCTTTCTTTTGTGGAACAAAGAAGATATTCTGAAAAAATCTGTTTGATATAGTGTTCTTTTTATTTATAGAAAGATGTTTGTGGTGCATTGATCTGATTTGATTGCTGTGGCAGATATTTGTTGATTTTTTTGGTGTACTGTGTTTAATATAGACTAACAGCCCAGCATTTCTGCTCCAATACTTCCTCTGAACGTCTGACTCTCTCCATCTGTAGTGTGGCAGGAGGACATGGACAGGAAGTTGTCTCAGAACAGTCTCGGCGAGCAGGGCAGGCAGGGCAGTAAAACAGCGCTGAACCGCCGGGTAAGACTTCCCATCACTTCCCATCAACATGATTTGAGATGGGCGGCTCAACGAAGGCCTCCCATTACCTCATTAATATCTTATTAATAACTAGTTTATAAAGGCTTATCTCTAACGGTCTCTTTAATTCACATATGATTTGTTTATTCACAGTTCACTGTTATCATGGACGGTTAGGACCATGTCTTGTGTGTTATTGTGTGTGGTTTTTTTGGATGGGGTGGTATTGTCAGAGACCATGGATGTCGCCGAGGAGCGTCTGTAATTGATTTAATGTCTGTTTACTCTTCCCGCTGAGATGCCATTGCCTAATGACGGGGTGCAGCAGCAGTGGGTCTTGGTGACAAAGCACTGGCACGGTGGCACAGAGGCAGGAGGCTAAGTGCCTCCTCTGCTCGCCCTGCGAGGGCTGTTTGTTTGCTTGGCTGATTTATCTGCCTCCTTTATTTGGCCCCTCTTTATTTCAGGGGCACGCTCCTCTTGTTTTGCCTCTGCTGTTTCTTGGCTGAGCATTCAGCTCGCTATACCCCTGATCTACACGTTTTGTCGTGGAAAGTTGTTTAGCGGGTTTCATGAGCAGCTCGTGGAAGACTCAGTCATTAAAGAAGAAAAAAGTAGGTTGGTCCATTTCTTGGTTAATGTCTCAGGTCAAACTGAGGTTCTGCAGGGGTCGTTCTTGATGCACAATTGGGATCTGATTAGTTTGGTACACCTATACTTGTGAGTAATTTCATCATGCATATTTTTACATAAGGCTCCCCTCCGTCGTCCTTGATCATGAAGGGGCCACCTTATTTACGGCCATGTGTTCCAAGTAGCAGTCAAGTCACAAGTTCAGCATTATAAACTTCAAAGTGGGCTTAAAGCTCTGACCCACCAGAGCTCGTGATCGGCTCTGCATTGTGCTCGTACCGGACCAGCTAACGCTTTGAGACAAGCAGACATCTCAGTCAGTCAGACCGCTGGATGACAGCACGGATGAGAAGGCAAACGGTCATGCACATCAGTTTACCTTGACTTGACAATGAATCAACACAAAAACACAGCTCCTGATACAGTCCATGGCAACTGCCATTTCACTGGATCAGGATGTCTTTGGATTGGGGCTGTCAAACGATTGATCACATCCAGAATAAAAGTTTGTGTTTATATAATATATGTGGGTGCACTGTGTATAATTAATTTGTATATATATAAATACACGCGCATGCATGCATTTTAAAAAAAAAATATTATTTATATATAAATATTTATATATAAATCTATATACAGTATATACATGAAAATACTTCTTAAATATATCCAAGCATGTGTGTGTATTTATATATATATATATATATTTATATAAAATAATTATATACAGTGCACCCACATATATTATGTAAACACGAACTTTTATTTTGGATGCGATTAATCGTTTGACAGCCCTACTTTGGATGTTTTTTGTCAGGTTTTATTGAGTGTTGACCATCCAACAGTCTACTTAAGAATTTGACATAAGCCAAAAGAAAGATGAAAATAAATGTGTGGCCATTTATATAACATAAAAAGCTTTATACAAGTATGAATTATCATCACTTCATAGTATACCTATTATTTGTATTATATGTACTATATATTGTAGTTTAGTTGTATTAATTTAATCAAAATAGGTTTATTTTTTTAATATTAACTAAGACTATTAAAGGTTGTAGAAGTATTGTTAATTCTTAGTCCATGTTCAATTCAATTCAAATTTATTTGTCTAGTGCTTTTCACAATACTTGTACATGTTAAAGGGATGTAGTTCACTTAAAATGAAAATTCTGTCATCATTTACTCACCCTTAAGTTGTTTCAAACCTGTATGAATTGCTGAACACAAAGGAGGGTATTTTGAAGAATATCGGTAAACGAACAGTTGATGGACCCCATTGACTTCCATAGTATGAAAAAACCCCACTATGGAAGTCAATGGGGACCATTAACTGTTCAGTTACCAACATTCTTCAAAACATCTTCCTTTGTGTTCAGCAGAAGAAAGAAATCCATATAGGTTTGAAACTTGAGGATGAGTAAATTGACGATTTTTTTTAAGTGAACTATCCCTTTAACTAATGTTAATTTCAACATTTACCAATACATTAAAAAGTTTGTATTTGTTAACATTAGTTAATGGTCTGTGAACTAGTATGAACAATCAACCATTGTATTTTTTTAACTAGTGTTAACAACTTGAATAATAATACTATACTATAAATGTATTGCTCATTGTTAGTTAATACATTAATTAATGAGACCTTACCAATTTATATAACATTGTTTTATTATTATTTTTATTATTAATATTTATAATTCATATTTTTTGCAGTCAAATTATCATGTTTTACTTCAAACATCCACCTTAGGGCCAGTTCAAAAAATATAATTTTTAAAACCAGTTTTTAACACTTGCTGGAAGAAAAATCTTTGCAATTTATCCATTTATTTCGAGTATCAAAATACTTTCTGGAGCCACTGTTGAGCATTTATGATTTAAGCTACTTATTGAAATGTTGCATTTTAACCCCTTGACGCCTGAATTTATTTACAATTATTTAAAAAAAAAACAGGCATTGGGCGAATACACATGCTATCTCGCTTGCAGTCTGAATGGAAGGGGTTTGATGTGAATTCGCGACAGTCGGCATTAAGGGGTTAAGACTGTATGTGTGTCTGTTAGAGGGGCCGATCTGTAAAGAAATTGAACAGATCTTATGCAAACACTGTCATTGTTGTAAAACAGGTTGTAACTGTATTTGAAGTTCAGAGGAACATGACCGTGGACTGAAGCTACACATCAACTGGTCTACAGTTATCACACAGGCTCTATTAGCCTCCTGACATTGAGTTCTCTGCGTATTGGTGTGTAGGACACGTACCGCAGGAGACAGATGCAGCGCACCGTCACACGGCAGATGTCCTGTGACCTGACCAAGATGCTGGTCACCGAAGACTGGTTCAGTGACATCAGCCCTCAGACGATGAGGAGACTGCTCAACATAGTGTCAGTCACAGGTCAGTGTGACCTCGTTTTTGCTTCATGCATTCATTATTTGTTGTGGCATGTTAAAGACATAAGCGATAGCTTTACAAAATATATAATAATAATAATGAAGTGTCTTTTGATAGGTCGCCTTCTTAGAGCCAATCAGATCATCTTTAACTGGGACCGGCTGGCATCCTGGATCAACCTGACGGAGGAGTGGCCGTACCGCACATCCTGGATCATTCTCTTTCTGGAGGAAACTGAGGGAGTCTCGGACCAGGTCACACTGAAGACCATTTATGAGAGGTCAGCTTACACATTCTGAAAATACACATCCTCTGTATCTCACATCAAACGTCAAATATCTTACTATACAAATATCATAAGAGGGAATTTATTTACTTCAAATAAATAAATAAAATCATTAAAAATAAATATTATTTATTTTAGTTTTTTTTTGTTATTTATTGATCATTGTATTTACTTTATTTAATTTAATGTAATTTCTTTAGTTATTTATCTATTATTTAGTTCTGTGTTTATTTACTTATTTTGTTTAATTCAATTATTTTAGTTATTTATTTTAATTCCATTATTTATTAGTTTATTATTTCTTCAGTCCTAGTGAGATGTGTTTGGGTATTTTTGTTTATGCTTATTGCACGAAAACTCCCATACTATTTAAATACAATTTGTTTTTCAGTGTAATAATGCCTGCAACCTGCAGGTGGCAGTAGGAAATTTCTGTTTCATATTTGGTCCACTGCACAATTCCTATAAATCCGGATGTCTCATTGGGTATGATGTACCATGAAGTATTTCGAGCTTTGATCTTTACTTTCAGCCACTTTCTCACAGTAGGATGTGTGTGTATATATATATATGAAAAGCAAAACAAAAAGAATGATGCTCAGTCGCTGCCTGACTAACTGACTGCCACTCTTTAATAATTGTCTTGTTTACTTGTTGTTAAACATGCAACGCAATCACATTTACTTCTGCTGCATCCTCTCTCGAGCGTTTGAGGGATGTGTATGTGTGTGTAAATGCTGGAAGGGGAGATGTTGAGGCCGTTAGGTTTGCTGATGCTCAGTGTTTGGCCTTTAAAGGTTGCTCTGTCACACTGCACTAACATGCTGTGACTCCTGGGGCTGTAGAAGTGTCAGAGCATCTCAGTGTCAGCATCTGCTCTCTCACCATCGCTCTTCTTTCCCAGCCCCCATGATGCCCTTTAGCGCTTCGTCTCACCCGTTTTTCTCCTCTTTCATACCCCAAAAATACTCCACAATAGCACTGCATTTCAGCGGCAGAGAATCTGTCACTGTGGAAGTTAAAATAGAGGCCTGTAATGTTGTTCCGTTATCTGTCACAGATGTTGCTCAGATAAGAAACGGTCAAATCTACTGGTGCTTTTTTTGTTTTCTTTGTTCTGTTGCACTCTCGAGGTCACATGGCCATGCATTTGCTTGTTTTTTATAGAGATGACTGCGTAGACCTGCATTTGTCCACTTGGTGTCAATTTCAGCAGCCGTTTCTCGTCTGGGTTTACAACAGTGACCCATAAACTGTTTATCGGTTGATCTTGGAGGGGTTTTAGGCCTGTTAGTCTCATGACCAGAGTGACCCGGACGGGTGTTTGGTCAGTATGTGGTCTGCAGTGATGTAAGAGCCAATCAGGAAGCACCGTACTGCCTGTGTGGAAGAGAAGTGAGTGAGTTTCATAGGTCAGCTGTCATTCTCGATCGCAGTCATAAGGGCTAGGCTTGTGTCCGCCCTTGTGATTGTCTGTGAAGGCTGATGGACCAATATAATTTGCTTGGGAAATTGATGTATTGTGTGTGTGGGTGTGTTGCCTGCTTTAGCTTAGTTTTCTACATCCTTCTCCCTTTCTCTCATGCACACAACACACACACACACAAATTCCTAGAAGAGAGAAGTGGCGAAATCTCCTGTTTGTAAGATTGCTCCATGGTAGGTCATTATGAGGCTGAGCTTTCACAGTGCCTTTGTGTGTTTTCCGGAATGAATGTTTGTCTATATTTGTTTGTGACATTTCAGCATAACCTGTAAAACCAACACTACAGTGCAGAAACTCATTAGAGTGTGTCCTTGTAACTAAGAATTAGTCAGGATAGGTAATTGTTGATTTATTGAATTTGACTAGTTTTCTTTTTTCTTTTTTTTTTTCTTTTTTTATCAGATAAGGAGAACCCTCTCAGAGAAGTTGTTTCTGTGAAAAAATATTATTTCCTTTTAACCCTATTGCATTTTGAACCAGAAGGTTCAAATTTATAATTTTAAAAAAGAATATGAAACTTTGTGTTAGTGTGACAAAAATACAAAATAGATATATAGATTTATATTTCAACAAAAAAATAAATAAGAAGGAGATATAATCATTATAATCACCTTTTGTGTTCAGGTTCATTCTGACCTTAAATGAACCTGTAGCTTTAAATAAGAAATGTTTATTTTATTTTATTTTTTTTGTTTGTTTTTTTTTATTTGATTTATTTTCTATTAGTTAGATTTTTATCCAATTAATTATGTAAATTACATTTAGCCCCCCCCCCCCCCCCCCACACACACACACACACAAACACATTTTTTCATTCCCACTGGGGCTGTATTTTGTTTATAAACATGCGCACCAAATAAATCTGAAATTGAAAAAAAATTCATTAAAATGGATTAACTTTTTTGAGCAGTTATGAGTTATAAGATTCAGAGGAATTTACGTAAATCCATTGAATTCAATGAAGTTCATACTTATAAATATCATCAGATGATATATTCAAGAAACATTTGTCAGTGTTCTGAATACAAGAATATGTCCTGTGTGAAACTGCGCCTGATGAACATGACCTTAAACCTCAACAAAATTTATACGTGGCTTTTTCAAGACTGACAGGTTAAATTGACAATATGTAGATTTGTGCATTTTATGAATTAAAAGCAACTCCCATTGCTTTAAATATCGGTCAAGAGTCTCAAGACAAACAATGAAATAATTGTGTAATATATGTCTTGCATTAATGAAGTGAGACAGAATGAAAGCGTGACTCATATACATGAGTTTCTTTATATCAATCAATCTATCAACATTTATTTATACAGACCTTTACAACACACAAGGTGAACCAAAGTGCTTTCCACAGAAAAAATAAATAAATAAATAAATAATATATATATATATATATATATATATATATACTGGTCATACTTGGGGGATTTTTTTTTCTTTTAGCCACAGTAATTAATCATTTTAGTACTATGGACACTATTGTTGTCATAATACCTGCAGTTTGCCTTTTGCAAAAACTAAAACTGCCATTTGAACACTTATGTATAATTTGTACAAAAGCATGTACATTTTTGTTGTATGATGAGAAAAAAAACTAAACTTTTATTTGTTTATTTTTATTTGTTTGTTCATTGTTTCTGGCTTAATGAGTGTTATGTCTTTTATTGTCTGCAGTAACTATGGAAACAACTTTCCAGTCCCCTAGTGATCTGGCCCTTTAATCTGCACCAGAATGTGAATAATCTGTTAATAACATCAGCTTGTTTTATGAATAACATTAAGACAGGCTACAGTAATCCAACCACGCAGACGAAACACAAAGATTCCTGTGTCCTTAAGGTACACTGGCTTATAACCACCAGGTCTATAAACCACCTTGACCAGAGAAAAGTGTGTTTGTACCTCTGTATTTTGAGTAAATCTACTCAAACTCACCACTGGCTAACAAGCAATTTCCAACCAATTACCTTTCTGCCTGACATTGACACTCTCACTTCAGTCACTCTCTATTTCACTGTGAAGCAACCCCCCTTTTTTTTTTAGGCCATTCAGTCTGGACTCCATTCTGTAGGACCACGAGTCACGGTTGTTTTTGGTCTTTACAGACATTATTTTGGGCTGAGAAGTCGGAAGTCTAAATGGAAAGTGAGCAAGTGAGCTAAAGAGATGTTGTGGTGGCTGATGGCCATGATCTGTAGTGGACTTTTTGAGCAGAGTCAGGCCCACTGGGAGTTTATTTATGGCACTTTGCTCCGGGTTTTGCGCTTGTTACGAGGTGTGGCCCGCCGAGCCGGTTCTGCTCTGACATCTGGTGTCTGGCTTGTGCCAGGATGGTATGACAGAACCTGACTGGGCCGGGTACCATGCCCAGTCCGCCCTCCCCTTATCAGCCTGCTCTGGCCCGGTAACATATGTCCCCTCCTCCCCTACTCTGAGAGCGGCCCTTGTTAATTAACCCACCAGGAGAGTTGGCGTGGCACGCTCCAAAACGACCAATCGCTGGAGGGATTCAACGTGGACACGCCCCTTCACCTTTCGTCCACACTTCTCTGCATCTCCTTGGCTGCGAACTCGGTGTGACATTCACGGGTGAAAGAAAAAGAACACGAAAAGCTCTTGCGCTTTCCCAAAGGCTCGTCCCACTCACTCACAACGCTTCCCGTCACAATGCTCAGCTTATTCTTTGAGGGAACAATTGGCTCTCAGTGCTGGGCTTCAAATCCAGGATTTAAAGCGATTTTTAGCGAAACTTTCTAACTAATGCCACTCTAAGTGAATGTGTGCGAGGCTATTGGAGCTAATTAGACGAGACTCTTCTCCCAAGTACTGAAACATTAAGATGACATACTGTTCATTCAGGATTACTTTAATTGGTACAATTATTGTAATTTCAGTCGCAATTACATCGGAAGATAAAAGCGCCTTCTGAAGCACATTTATGTGATTTCCTTTATGCGAAAAGACTAATAAGCCTTTAAGTAATTCTTCTGAAAAGCACACGGCTTCCTTTCTTCTCCTCTTTTGAACCCCTTTGCCTTTGAGTTGGAACTTCTCACTTTCCTGTGAATTCATATTTTTGTCACGTAGCAGCCTTGTCTCTAGCATCTCGATGCGTTTTCTTCTCCGCCTTTGGAGGGAAGCTATTGTCCATGAACCTGATCCTTCAAGAACTCTTTGGTGGAAGAGGTAAACTTAGTAATTTAAAAAGTGCAGCCATTATTTGCCCAGAGGCTCTATAAATGATTAGGCGATTGAAAGCCCCATCTATTCCCCAAAGGAGAGAAGCCCAATCTAAGATAGGGAGTGCATTTATTGGGTGCACAAAGTGACCCCTAGATGGATTAGATGAGTTTGAAACTGGGGAAGAGGTTGTGTGCTGCACAGAGGGATTTAAAATCGCTCTTTGGATCGGTCCTGTCCATTTTTGTGGCCATTATTGTGAGTAAAGGAAAGCCATCATGTCGGGTCACGCACGTTAGTGCGTCATGTTTGCTGATTGTCA